CATGAACAACAAGCCACTCACCTGCATGGTGAAACTGTAGTCCTGTTTTGAGTGGTCTTGACAACCAGCGTGTTCCGTCGCCTGCCGAACGGGCGCAGATGGCAGCTCGTGCAGCAGCACACGCTCAGCCCCAACTTGCAGCTGAACATCAGCTATTGCGCTCCGAACTCGTTATCAAAGACCAGGAGCTCGCAACCAACAAGCAGGAGCTTGCTACTAGAGATCAGGCGCTCGCTGCCAAAGATCAGGAACTACAACAACTTCGCTTCGATCTCGCTGCCAAGGATCAGAAGCTCGCAACAACAGAGCAGGAGCTCATTGCGAAAAACCAACAGCTTGCTGTCAAAGCCCAGGAGCTCACTGCCAAAGACCAGGCCCTCGCAACCAACAAGCAGGAGCTCGCTACCAAAGACCAGGAGCTGCAACAACTTTGCTCTAATCTGCAGTCAGCTCTTGATCGGATCGGCGTACTTGAGCGCAACCAAGGCGCCGGTGGATCCGCATCGAACTTTGACGGACCCATCCCACAAGTGCCTCTCGCCACTCTCGCCTCCGCCACGAACAATTTCGCTGCGGATTCTCTGCTCGGCGAAGGAGCATTTGGTCGTGTGTACAGTGCCAGTTTGCCTGCTCCTCCCGTTGCCGTCGCCATCAAAAAGCTGTCCGCCGAATCGATCCAGCACTATGCAGCGTTTCAGGCAGAGTTGAAATCTCTATCTAAATTCCGTCACCCCAACATCATTGTCATGCTGTCCTATGCCGAAGCTCAGGGTGACTATTGCTTGGTTTACGAGTTCATGCCGAATGGCTCTGTTCGCGACCGTCTCAGCTGCAAGAACGACACTCCTCCGCTGACTTGGTCCCAGCGTCATCGCATTGCAGCTGATGTTGCCCGCGGCATGCACTACGTCCAGACAGCCCTCCCTGATCAAGTTCTGTTCCACCTCGACCTCAAGACGGACAACGTTCTGTTGGACGCGTATTTCAACGCAAAAGTGTCTGATTTTGGTCTCGTCCGTGCTGCACAACACCTCGATGACAAGAGCTATCTTCGCACTCAGAACGTCCAAGGTACCAAGGCTTACATGTGTCCCGTGTTCTTTGGCGAGAGTAAGATTACCATCAAGACGGACGTCTATGCTTTTGGCATGATTCTGCTCGAGCTAGTGACCGCCGCCAAGCCTGGGCCCACACTGAAAACTGATATGCGCAAGGCTGTGAAAACCCAGAAATTCGTTGAGATGCTGGACTCGGCTCTCCACCCAACCGAAGCCGAGGGCCAGAGCGTCAGCGAGATTGTCACCCTCGCGCTCGAGTGTCTTGATGACGATGCCGATGAGCGTCCGTCTTTTGGGCAACTCATCGTTCAATTGGATCCTTGATGCCAAGCGAAAGATGCTGCGCTGGTGTCTCACTGCTTGATCAAGAGACGAACGAACAACTCTCTTGTTCTTCACTACTCTCCCTGTGTCCGTTTCCGTTTCGCCCGCTTGTGGCATGCTCCTCCTGCATGTTGTAACAGTTGCTTCATGACTTGTTCCTTTCTCGATGCGCTTGCTTTTCACACAAAAATCTAAAGCATGGCCCTTTTCCCCCTTTCACTTTTCCGCATGAACATGAATGTTGAGAGTCGAGATGGGTTTGGATTATCTCTGCATGCTCGAACGACCTTGGAGTTTGGGTTCACCCCCAGCATCACAAAGCAACTGACGAACCCAGCTAAAGTGCTTGTTGAGATGAATAAATTACGGCTCATTGAAGCAAGGTGGGAGGCGAAGGTCGGGATCGGATCAAACGATCACCCCCCCCCCCAAAAAAAACGGATCTAGAGCGACAACTTGAGTTGGTGCTTGTTTTAACATGAATGGTGTGTGATTGCTGTGCCAAGCGTTCGTGTCAGCATCGCTCCATTCGTGATCTCAAATCCCCACCCCCCTTTGAGCTCCACACCCCGTCAAACCTCTCCCTCGGCCTGTGCTCGATTCCCTTCCGCTCGCTTCGTTCACGTCCACCTTGCCTTTCCACATGCTTTTCCCCTTCCGTCTCGTCTCTGGTCTCCTTTTTAGTAGTTCTCGCATCGGAAGCGGCTGACAGCGTGGGGCGTGGCGTCGCTTCCGTTCCCGTTCCATTTTTTTTGTTTCTTTTGTCTATTTTCGTTCTCTCTCTCTCTCTCTTTCTATCCCGCTCCAAAGCACAGGCGTCGCCTTCCCCCCACCCCACCCTCGCCTCTCAAAGCAAGCACGGACACACACACACACCCTTGAATCGACCTCAGCACTCCTCCCGCTCAAACCTCTTCCAACTCTACTCCTGTGCTTTCTGTTTTTTTGTTTTTTGTGTATTTTGGAATGTAGCAAACAAAACCGGTCGCGCCAGGACAAGGTCTTCTTCAATCGCCCCGCGTCCATCCATTTCACCCAGACCCCAAGCGAAGCACCCATCTCGCCAACAATACACCCCTCAACACACCCATATTTATCATCCTGCTACGCTCGGCGCTGGTCTGTCGCTTGTTGCGGGATATGACTTCATCGAGACCCAGTCCTTGTTTTTTGCTCGTTTTGTTTCCGTCATCCCTTCTCTCTCTCTCTCTCTCTTTGTCTCTTCCTCTTTGTCTCTTTCTCTCTCTCCTTCTCTTTAAAAATAATGACACCCTGCCACAGTCCCTCGACGCTGGCCGCGGCGCTGGTGCTGCTGCTCGCAGTCGCGTCGTCGACTGTGTCCGCCACTCCCCAGCAAGCCTGTGGTCCCGCGCCCGAGCTCGTCAGCATGGCTTGCAACTGCCGTTTCCGCGGCTCGGATTATCGCTTCCCCTCTGTCAATTGCTCCTCTCGTGGTCTCACCGAGTTTCCCATCCTGCCAACAAGCGTTGAGTCAATGTGCGCCCAAACACCGAAAAAACCAAAAAAAAAAAAAACCCTGCTTTTTGCTATTGTTTTTTGTGATCTTTTTTGTTTTTGCTATTGTTTTCGCTGCCAAAACCTCGTCACCATTACTCACATTCACGTTACGAATGTGGAACAACTCTCGACTTTTGACTTCTCGATTGACATTTTAGCGACTTGTCGTACAACAGCCTGACGTTCATTCCCAGCGGCGCTTTTGTGGGCTTCGCATCCCTGCTCACGCTGTATGCTGCCATTTCCCCCAACGTTTCTATTCCCGGGTTCGATTGCCATCCCCACACTCATTCAACTGTATTTCGTTTGTTTGTAGTGACGCGAACTACAATCAGATCACCTCTATTGCGGCGGGTGCGTTTGAACCTGGCACGGTTCTCGCGGGCATGTAAGACCACCGCGCTGAGCAATCCAAATCCATTCAAAAAGCGAGGCCTCACTCAACCCCCACCTGCGTAAACTACTTCCAGATCGTTCTACTATAACAACCTGACAACAATTCCCGTCGACTTTGCGAGTGGTGGCAATTTCTCGAGCGTTGGTTCTATGTGAGTGACAAGGCGACGTGACTACCACAGGACTCTCTGTCTGCTAACTTGTGCATCGTTTCAGCTTTCTGATGGGCAACAAGATCACGACTGTTGGACCCAATGCGTTTGGAGCAACGTTTTCCGGTCTTACTTACTTGTACGTAGTGCTCCTGTTGGACAGTGGTTTCCCGCCGTCATGGAGCGTTAAATTAACCATGCATTGTTTGGGGGGGGGGATTCGCAGGGGCCTTAACCTCAATCCAATTACTTCTATGGCCGATTCCGCATTTAGCGGTGCACCGAACATTGGGGGCTTGTAAGATTCTAACGACGAGTCCCCGTGTTTTCCCAAAGTTGACCAACGCTGATGGTGTTTTTTTTTGTTTGTTTTTGTTTTGTTTTTTTGCCAGGCCTCTCAACGACATGCTGCTCACAAGTCTGCCCGTCGGGGCGCTGAGCTCTCTTAAGCTCCTAATGTTGTAAGTTCTTGCTCATCCGAGTGGCACGTGCGGGTGCTTGGTACTGATAATCCGTATTGATTGATCGAGTAAAGACTCGCTGTGCGCACACCCATCCAAGCCATTTCGGAGGACTTTAGGGCGCCGTTCGCGACGGTTGTGTAAGCAAATCGCAACCAAAACCGCAATCAACCTTGGACGCCCTTGAGCTGAATGTGAGTTGCACTTGCACAGCTTGTTTGACTCCAACCAACTGAGTACTCTGCCGAGTAACATGGGTACCATCTTCCCGAGCGCTAGCCAGCTGTAAGCAGGCTTTTCAGCTTGTGTTGTTGATCTATTCTTTCGTGTTGTCGATCGATTCTTTCCTTAGCCCCACACTCTGACTGACACGACTTTTTGTCGAAAAATTCCAAAGGGCAATTTCCAACAACCTGTTTGAATCCGTTCCCTATGAGGTATCAAATATGCCCAACCTTGGAATTTTGTAAGGATTGAATACGCATGCATGTCGGGCCAGCTTGCAAAAGCCATTTGTGCTCTAATGTTCGTTCGCACACGCCGCCAGATCTGTTGACGGGAATCGCATCCGCTCTCTCCAAAATCAACTGACTCTGACGAATCTCATCGGATTGTAAGTTGGAATTGGCTCCCACTGTATGCTCGCATCAAGTTACTCGAGTCTCACGGCGTGGTATTGCGATTAGGACGGCCAATCACAACCAACTGACCAGTCTTACCGTGTCAGACCTTGTGGGATACCCCAATCTTATGGCACTGTAAGGCACCAAAGTGCAAGTGCAGAAACTGTTTGCGCTTTCATCTCACTGCTGGGTAATCAGACAAGCGGCGAACAATTCGATTTCTTATATCGAGCCTGGTCTGTTGTCGTCTCGTCCGAATATGTTATACATGTAAGTCAGCGTTTGCCTGTATGCACGAGGTTGACTCGCGTTCCACAATCTTACTTTGCATGGAAACCGCCTAGGATGCTTGCCAACAACTCGTTGACCACTCTTCCGCCAGGGCTCTACCAAGGCTCAACCAGTGCGCTGTTACAAAATCCCACTTACAACAGATTGGACGGCAATCCATTCATTGGGCAGCCACCGAGCACATGGGGCACGGTCGCTCAGCCTATTCGTACGTCGCACTACCAACCTTGCGTGTGGGTTGTAACTTTTTGTTTCTTTCGACTCATTTTGATTGCCTCCAGCTTGCAATGCACAGTGCGCAACTTGCTTTGCGGGCACCAGCAGCGATTGCTGCCCTGCCAACTGCCTGCAGTGCACCTCCAATACGACGTGCAATGTGTGCTACGATGGATATGAGAAAATGGGAGGAGTCTGCGCGATCAACTACCACGCGATCTCCACGTCAGTGGATGCAGTAGCTTCGGCCTTGGCCGCATCCGTCGCATCTGTCGAGTCTGTTGCGTCTATCGCATCTGTCGCATCTGTCGAGTCTGCTGTGTCTGTTGCCTCTGTTGCGTCCGCTGTGTCAGCAGCATCCGTGTCCTCGGCCTCAGTCGCCGCTGTTGCTGCGAGTCTGGAGTCGGTCGCATCCGTCGAATCTGTTGCCAGTGCTGCTTCGGTCCAATCCGTCCTTGCAGTTGCTGCCTCATTGGAGTCGCTGCTCGCCAGCCAGTCGGCCATGTCTCTGGCGTCGGTGGCCTCAGTTGCTTCCATCCAAGCCATTGCGCCCAGCTCGTCTGAGGCTGCAGTTCTTGCAACCTCCTCGACGCATGCAGCAGCTCTGGTGTCTTCGGCAGCTGCAACCACCGGCACCACTGCATCTGGTGGTCTCGCCTCCAACGCGTCTGCCAGCAGTGGTTCCAGCATTGGCATCGTCATTGGCTGTGTTGTGGGCGGCGTGGTCCTGCTGCTCTTGCTGATTGTGCTGATTTCCCGCCGCCGCTCTCGCAAGACCAAGCTGGTCCATCACTACGACCGGGACAATGGCATTGTGGCGGAGGAAGTCTCATACGCTCGAATTGCCGGTGCTAGCTTGAACAAGGACTCGGACACTCCGATTTACGACTCCACGACCCCGCAAGTTACCTACGCGCAGGTCAATGATGCGCCGCATGTGTATGCGAGCACCAATGCAGCGCACTATGATGTGCTGTCCACTGAGTCCAAGCAAGTTGCCAACTACGACGTACTATCCCCTCAGCAGGCCAATTACGAGGAAATTCGCACCTCGTCAGTGAAGGTGGTCTGATCCTTGTTTGCGTTTTGACAAGAGTTTGGAGTTTGGCAGTCATTCGAACTGCGCCATCCAGAGTTTAGAGTTATGAGTTGCGAGTTTTGTTTTGTTTTTGTTTTTTCTTTTGAGGGTTTTTTGTTTTTGTTGAGGGTTGTTGTTGTTCCTTTCAATTCAACAGCGAGTGTTTGCACCAAAAGCTATCATGCAACTGCAACTGTTCATGCGTATAATCATGTCATCTGTGCCAATTCCAAACACCCAGACGCCGAAAGCGAATACAATCGGTCAAGGGCCGGGACTCGGTCTGCCGTCATGGTTTGGAGCAAATCCCAGCAGCATCGACGTTGAACACAATAAAGAAACACTTGCTGCAGAACGACGATAAATGTATTTACTGTAAAATGTGTGAATAAATGAAGCGGTGCAAAGGAAATGGTACAACAGAGAATGCAAAAGGCATGAAGGCAGAAACAGCGCTCTACACGTGCTGAGGAAGAGTGGCGAGCGTCGGAGCTATGCTGGCGGGTCGGAACGGAAGCGGCGGAGCCGCATCCGAAGGCGCGGAATTAGACCGACGTCGCACTGGACCGGAACGAACGCGCATTGTAGTGGGCGGTGCATCCATCGGACCCAGCATAGGAGCCGGACACGCAGCCCCCATGCCCATTATCAACCCAGGAGAGTCTCGCAGTTGCAATTGCTGCCCTTGAATCTGATGGGCTTGCGCGTGGGCGTGCGCCTGCAGCTGAGCTTGATACACTTGCTGCTGAGCATGCGATGCAATAAACATTGACGGCTTGAGCTGGTGCAGCTGCTGCTGTTGCTGGTGCAGCAGCTGTTGTTGTTGTTGTTGTAGCTGCAGCTGTTGTTGTTGCTGCTGCTGTTGTTGAAGTTGCTGCTGCTGTTGCTGCTGCTGCTGCTGTTGTAACGATTGCAACCAAGCGGCGGATGACTGCGAGACGGCAATGCCAGGCTCAGCTCCTAAAGAAGAAGTGGACGCTGAAAATGGACGCGATTTCATCGCATGGAGATACTGCTGCTGCCGTTGTTGGTGCTGAAGATGTAGCTGCTGCTGTTGTTGCAGGAGCTGCTGTTGCACCGGGATGCCACTCGAGAGATGAGCGAAGGGCATTGGCTGCATGCCAAACTCGGACAGAGTGCCATGCGAGCGATGGCGCGAATGCTTTTGCACATGACGCGCAACATTGTTCGCATCAATGTAGTGGGTCACGCCATTGTTGTTCATGCCACCACCATGCTGCCCAACAGCGTTGCTGGACGCTGTTACATTGGAGAACACGGGCGACGCAGCCCATGCAGCCGTTGCTGCAGCCCCAGCCATGCTAAGAAGCAATCCGGGTGAGTGGACACTCGGTGAGGACGGTGCGGAAAAGGACACGGTATTTGCGGCCTCGTGCGGAGAATACAAATCGGAAAGAGGCGACTGGCCAGCAGCCACCAAAACATTGGTTGAAGAGAGCACCGCAGAGTGGGAACTGCCTGTCGGGACATGCGGAAGCATGTACTTGGCTTGGTCGGCAGTGTACAGACGAATCCAGGCGTCGAAAAGACTGTTGGGCACATACAGCGAGTAATCGAGCGAGTCGAGCAACCAGGCTTCGAGATCGTTCAGCTCGCCGAGGGGATAGCGCGCAACCTTGGCCCAGTAGGCATTCCCGTACGTCTTGTCGTTCAGGTACTTTGATGAAAGGAGCAGCGCCGACAGGAAGAGACAGTGGCCACAGACATTGGCACGATGCGCAGAATGCGCGTCGTTGAACCGGTAAATGTAAATGAGGGCAACGAGAAACGACGCTCGAGAGGCCTGCATGTCCTTCAGGATGGCATGGACAAAGATTTGCAGGGGCCGGCGGTCGGGTCGGCAGCGCCACGAATACTCGTTCAAAAAGCTGTTGAGCGGCGAAAAGAACGTCCACGCCGAAGCTGAGTTGTATCCCATCATGGTGTTAACGTGCTGAGATCCCGACTGTAGATGTGTCGGGGTCGTAGGGGTCAAAGGCACACAAGTGGGGTGCATGGTGGGCACATGCTGAGCATACGGTAGCTGTGGCAACTGTTGCTGTGCAGCAGCAGTCGCAGCAGCAAGCGGGTGGGAGTGGAAAGAGAACGATGGGTGTGAGTGGGGCTGTTGCGGAGGAGGCATGGGAGGCTGGTGGGCCAAGGTCATCCGCGGGGGAGTGCGAACTTGCTGCATGGTCGTCATCGGGGCCGACGTTGGCAAGCAGAGCGATGGAACGGAAGCAAAATGGGAGAGGGTTTGGTGATGAGGCTGGAACGACTGTTGATGTTGTTGTTGTTGTTGTTGTGGTTGTGGTTGTTGTTGTTGTGGTTGTGGTTGGTGGTGGTGATGGGGGTGGGGGTGGCAATGGTGTTGCTTGTTCTGGAAGGCCGACGACGGCAGTCGCGAGGCAGTCAACGCTGCCAGATTCGCCGCGCTGGTCGGGAAGACGACCGACTCGAGACTGCCAGTACGGTAAAGACCATCGCTCGACAGAGAGGCCGAAGGCCCGCAGCCTTGATCATCCGACATCATTTCAAGCTCACAGGCACGGCGCTTTTGCGTGGGCGTCGAGCAGTTGGACGAGTTGCTGAGGTTGCCGCTACTGCCGTGGAGCTGGAGTGCCGCGATGGAAGCCTGCAAGCCAGCAAACGAAGTGGCAGAAGGGGTCGAGACCGAGGAGGAGCCGGTTGAGGTCGCTGCAGTCGCTGGTGCAGTGACGGCAGAGGAAGTCGACATCATCATGGTCAACGTGGCAGAGGCAGCAGAGTGAGCGTTGGCAGTGACGGCAGCCGAGGCGGCGGCTTGAGCAGCAGCAGCAGCGGCAGCAGCGGCAACAGCATTGGCAAGGACTGCGCCTGGGCTCACGGCGACTGGAGACGAGGTGGCCGAGAGCGCACGAGCGCGCGAATGATGCAAGTGGTGCCACTGGAGCTGTTGCTGCAGCTGGAGCTGGTGCTGCGAGCTCAAGTGTTGGTGCACTGCTGGTGTAGACGCGGCATGGCTCAGCTGGCGTGGTGCCGGAGCGATTGCAGTCATCTCGGCTAGCTCTGCGGAAGCTTTGGATTGTGTCGAAAGCGGTTTTCGGCCGAGGCGAGCTGAAGGGCTCAGAGGTTGTGAAAAATCAGCGACCGAGCCAACGACGCGCACGCTTGGGGAGGCGGAGGCGGGTTGTAACTGCTGTTGTTGTTGCTGCTGCTGTTGCTGTTGCTGTTGGAGCAAATGCATCGCAGCGAGATTGACATGCGTGGTGGACATGTAATTGAACGGAAGAAGGTTGGAGGCAGCTGCCATTGCGGCGGCCGTCGTGGTAACTGGCAGTTGGACCGAGGCGGCAGTGGATTTTGGGCGCAACACTGCTGCTTCTACCATACAGTTGCTGCTGGTACTGGCGCTGCTGGCGCCACTGCTGCTGCGGGAAAAGTTAGACGCGTCGTCGTAAAACTCATCGTCAGTGTCCTCGTCTTCATCGTCGTCGTTGCCTGCAACGTACGACTGAGAAAAGGCCACCGGTGATGAGCCGCTGTATATACAGGATGGAGTGCCGGGCGCGCGCCGCAAGCTGCGAACACTACTGCCTATGCGGCCACTGTTGTCGTTGTCGTTGTCGTTGGTGTTGTGACTGTTGTCGTCGTGAATGAGAGGGTTGTTGTGGGTGCTGGAGATGCTGCCCAGGTTGTCAGCAACGCCAAACCGTTGCCGCTTGACCTGACGCTGCTGCAGGAGGGTCGATGCCGACACTGCAGTGAGCTTGGGTGTTGCCGACGCCGAGCCAGCGGCAGTCGGGGATGTTGGCAGCCATCCGGCAGCAGATTCTACCGTTGCAACGAGCACAGAGCCAGCTGTTGCATCGGCATAGCATGACATGATGCGCGCTTGGTGTCTGTAGAGAACGACGACGAGTCTAGCAGCCGGGCTCCAGACACAGACGCACCAACAAGACGCTCGAGAGAGAGTTCAGGCTGCTGCTTTGCTTTGGTGACGAGCGCGGTAATGCCTTGGGGGTGTATGTGCGAGAGTCTCTTGGCGCGTGTTGTAGGTTCTTGGTTGAAAAAGGTCGAGGACTTGATTCTGTGCAAGAGAAGAGCATTTTGAATTCAAAGTGAGCTTTGTTTTTGTTTAGATTTGCAGTCAATCTGAGCGAGTGAGAGTGACCCTCATTCTCTCATTCTCCTCCCTCTCTTCCACCGCTTCATCCGCCTCATCTCGTCCTGTTCTTCCATTTTTCAACAGTGGTCGTTTGTCAACGGCGAAGGTCGGTCGTCCTGTCGCTTCAAAAATCGCATCCAATCATCGCTTCGTGCTGTGTTTGATTTCCGCTTGTTTTTTGTGGTTGTTGTTGTTGTTTTTCACCCTTCTTTTGTTTTCGTTGCTCAGAAATTCACAGCGTTCTTGTTCGACTGACTTTCGCCGACGGTTGTTTTTCGTTTCTTTTCATGTGCGTTGTTTTTTTTTTTTTCATGCTTTGCTGCTGATTCATATCAAAAAAGTGCTCCGTTTCCATTGCTTGGAAAACTTGCAATCGTCCACAAAAACGCAGAGTGATTCATCATCAACACAAAACAAATGACTCATCCACAAAAACAAACCCAAATCCAAAAAACGAACACAAAGAAAACTAATCCAAAAACGCATCAAAACGTTGTTTTTTTGTTTTTTTCTGTTATTTTTGCGCGGCTTTTTTTTTTTTTTTTTTGCTGGAGATCCATTGGAAGGCCAATTCAGCCAATCCGGATGCGCTTCTCACTTAAGCTCAACCTTCCCCCTTTGTTGTGTCTCGCTGTTGCTTATCTCACAGGGGTGGGGGGGGTGTCCTCATGCTTCGAGCCCCTTCAAGCTTCATGCATGCGCTGTGGCGGTGTGCCTCTCTCTCTCTCTCCGCTGGGCTTGCTCTCGCTCCAAAATCAAAAGGCAAGTCGTGCGACACTTTTTTTTTTTTTTTTTTTTTTTTTTTGTGGTTGAGGTTTCCGTTTGCGAACAATGGTCGTCACATGCAAAGCCCGTCGTCCTCCCTGGCGCGCCGGGGTGTCGATGCAAAAGCGCGGGATATTCCAGGAGCAAGAAATGATGACGACAAAAGGGCGGGGAAAGCGACTCAAACCTTGGTTGTGCGGTTGCTTTGTGTTGGCGCGTGTGGAACGTGAAGGAGAAAAAACGAAAAAAAAAAAAGCGAAAAAAAAAAAAAAAAAGATGACCGCATTATGAATAAGCAATGCATTGGCAAATAAATACAAAGAATAAAAAAACAAAAGGATGGAAAAAAACAAACGGATGACAGCAGATATTTCGTTTTGGAGCGAGTTTTGGACGAGGCGAAAAAATCAACAGGAAAACAAGAAGAAGGGAGGGGAAGAGGGAGGGGGAATCAAATAAGGGAAGCGACTGAGCGAGAGATGAGAGAAAAGCAAGCGAAGGATGGCAGAAGCGGAAGGGAGAGACGAGACGAGACGAGAGAGAGAGAGACGAGAGGGAAAAAAAAAACTCACCTAAAATCTCAATGGAAAAAAATAATAATAAAATAAAAAAATAAAAAATAAAATAATAAAATAATAGAAAATCGATTGAACGAAAATTGAAGAATGGTTTCAAAAGAAAAAGAGATGATTCAAAAAGCAACGAGGAAATAGAAAAAGGCAAGCACGGCGAGTGAAGAACAGGAAGATGAAAGTGAGAGAAATGACGGATTGTTTTATTGACGTGAGCCATCCGAAGCGAACGAGAACAAACGGAGAAAAGAACAAGAAAAAAAAAGAAAAAGCGAACGATGAACAATACGACGTGTTTACACTTCTGTGCGTGCGTGTGCCCTGTCGCTTTGGAAGGAAGGTGTTGCTTGAAAGTGGTAGGAGAAATGGACAAGGGTCAATAATCAAGCAGCAGAGCGAGCGAGACCGATGAGTGGGCGACTTTGAAAACGAATTGGCGCACTCTGATTCACGCAGCTTCTTTGATCCACAGATGTGAGCGCACTCTCTCGCTCTCGCTCTCTCGAGATGCATCGAGTCGCTCCGCAGCAATGTGGAGAACAAAGAGCGAGCGTTGCCGCAGACTCACACCTCAGCGGTCATTGAATCGTGGTTTTGGGTTCAAATTGCTAACGCACGTGCGGATTGCGGAACAGAACACAGTCCCGGTCCAGCAAGCTCCAGAGTGCAATAGTGCAGTCAGTCAATGCCATTGTAACGGCATCAGCAAGTCGAAGCTCACAGACCGCTAGGCAGAACAGAGCAGCAGGTGTGAGTCAAGCACGAAACGGTGCGCCAAATTCAGCGACGCGCTGGCTCTGCCTGGCATCCAGCGGCGCTGTGCCTTGTCCGATTGGTGTGTAGATGCAGAATGCAGAATGCAGAGTATGCAGCTTTTGCATTTGCAGATGCGCACTCCGGATCTCAGCCTTTGGCCATCTTTGGAAACGCCCCCTTCGAATCTGCTCTGCTCCGATTGGTCAACCAGCTTCCGTTCCAGACCCCGCCCCCTTGCAGCAATGCAAACAGCAGCGTCGGCGATTTAGGAAAGGCGGGCCCGTCGCACTCGAACAAACAAGGAAACAAGAGCAAGTAAATCAACCGAAACACAACGACATCAAAGCGTGCGTCGTGGGACGGGAAGCCATTGGGGGGGGGGAGGCGATCATCCGTTGGTTTAATTGGTTTGAGTTGGGCTCGGTTTGCCTCGACCATTATTGCATTTCAGGCGCAGTCGCTCAGCGAACAAGCGAACAAGCGAACAGGAGGACTGCATCTGAAATGAAGGTGAGAAATCGAGTGAACAAAGGAAAAAAGACTCGTAGTCCCGAAAATCTGAGAACAACAAGATTGAGCATTTGATGCGCGCTGGTTGAGCCGTTCCAGCAACATTGGCCTGGCCGACGTCTAGCCACCCTCTGATTTGCTGGAAAGAGACCTGTAAAAAATGCGAAATTGAATACATAGTTTGAAGCAAGCAAGAAAACGAATGACAACGAAGACAAAGAGCTTCAATTCATTGCGCAAACTGTTGTCCGAGCCGCTCGAGCTCTGTTTCTCTCGTTCAACTCGGTACCTCGATGTGTTGTTCAAATTTATGTCATTTGGTGTGTATTACCGACTTGAATTCATCAAGAATTGGCATTTTGCGCGCCGGCGTAACGGCCACTTAAACTGATCGGCAAAATTTTTGTTCAGCAACCCAAAAAAATGGAAATCATGCAGCCCGTCGGGCAAAACTTGAATTCATCAACTTTACATCGTTCACACAATAAGAAACTATAACCCTAACGCTATTCTACAGTAGTATCACGAGCAAAGCAACAACACAGAAGAATTCGATCGAGTTCAACTGGCTGAAAACTCGTCAACCTGAAGGCCTGCGATAACCGCTCATCACTCCATGTTGTTCAACCGCGACAAAGCCTGATGTTTTACAAGTCATATTTGCAACAAGGCTGTGCATAAACCGACAACCATGTCTGCCAGGAGGACTCTTGGGGGCGAGCCAAATCCTTGTGTCTAGATCAGAAATTTCACCGCAACCCACACTCGCCAGGCCAAGATATCTACAAACAAGTCCAACATCGAGTACTGCATGTCAAGTTTACATGCATGATACAGTATCTCGCTAACTAAAATCCGAGCTCCCTTCCCATAGTGACTGCGATGAGCTTTGTTTCCGGTTCTTCAGTGCTATGCCATCATCCACGACCTTGCAACGAGCCGTATGGTTGAAAATCGGTGTTGTCCCTCTTGTGTATGTTTTCTGCTCGCTTGGCGTCGTTTCCCCCGGGTGTTTTCTGTTCCAAATCAAACGTCCAACCGAGCGTGCTGATGTTCCAGTCTCGTTTTGTATTTGTTTGTCTTCGCTTCTGCATTTCTTCCCGTGAGTTTTGTTATCAGCCTCGGGCTCTGCGCTCTGCGTTTGAGAGATGATCTTTGCGAAGGTTCTTCGCCCAAGGGACTGACGATGGGGATACAGCGGTGGGGTAGTTTGTGCATGTTTTTCCTTTTGTGCAATTGTTTGGTTTATTTTTTTTGCCTCTGTTGTGTCCGTTGTTCGAGGGGGTCGTCGCGATGACCTGTCATGCACAGCTCCACATAGTCTCAACTGTGATAGCCCCCGCCCGCAGAGTCGAAACAGACGGTCAGCAACGAATGCTTAAAATCACAATTCAAACGCGTGATGGTGGCGCGGGTCACTCTATTTTGGTTGCCCCCAACAGCAGCAAAACAGTACGCCCAATCAACATCCGCATCAGCCCCAATCAACAAACCACTCTCGCATTTCGATTCGCTTGTGTTTTTGAAGTGATCTCCGCCTCACAGCGGCAGGCGGTCGTGGGCCGCTGAACGAGCGAGTGGCATCGGCAGATAGCGGAGCGGGAGCCACGACACGTCCTCTGCCGTTGTTTCCCTCTCTGTCTCGCTCTTTCTCTCTCGCTCTCTTGTCTCTCCCGCCTCTGACCCTCCGATGCGATCTGCTGCAACCAGCTGATGAAAGTCAAGCAGATGCATTGGACAGGGCGCAAGTGGGGGAAAAGAGACAAAAAAAAAAACACAAATCAAAAACCCCGACCGAATCAACATTTTTGAAGGTGTTTTTACAATCCGGTCTGCCTGTCTGCCTGGTTCTGCGTGCAGGCGCATCATTGCTGTCATTGAAAGCCCTTCAAGTGGATATGGTCCAAAGAAAGAACCGCGCGGCTGGGTGGATCAGAGCGAGAGACACAGACACAGAGAGCGAGCAGGGACACAAGAAAGTGGAATTTGGGGGCGGGTTCCAAAAAAGCGGCGAAAAACAAAGCGAAAAACAAAACGAAACAAACCGCAGTGATGGAGTGATGGAGGTGCTTGGGTGCATTGGAGTGGAGCGCAGCCACCCAAACACATTCACTCTCGCTTCGTCACTTCATCGCGCTCTCTCTCTCTTTATCTCTTTAGCTATTTGTCTCGTTGTCTCTCTTCTGATCAATAGACGCGGCAAAGCCATCCATCCGCACCTCAAACTTGGTAGTTACGAGTGTTTAAAATGGAAACTCACTTTTTCTGGTAAACTGTAAACTTCGCAATCCTCAACAGATGGCAACGAACGGATTTGCCTTTGGGCTGCTGCTTTTGCTGCTTTGCGTGATCAATCGCGTCCACTTGTCGCAAGCAGTCGATGCGTGCACCGCGTGCAGTTGCTCGGGAATCACCGTGGATTGCACGAGCAAATTGCTCGCTGAGATTCCAACCGCAATCCCACTCGCCACAAAGCTGCTGTACGAGTTGGCCTTTGAGCTGAACCATTGCCCCTCCTCATTTGGCATCTGAATTGATAGGTATCTGCAGGACAACCAGATCACCAGTATTCCTGCGTCGGCATTGACTGGCCTGACTGCGTTGACCAACCTGTAAGCAAGCAACGACGTGAGACTCACACACATCCGACAGCTCACTCTGTTTTTGCGACGATAATGTCCATACAGAGTTTTCCTTCGCAACCAGATCACCAGTGTTGATGCAAACGCATTCACAGGCCTCACTGCGCTGACTTACATGTAAGTAAACACAAGCCGCAAGGATCTCGTACAAACCTCTCACTCGTTGGAAACTCCGTCTGCAGGGATCTGTCCTACAACCAGATGACCACCATTCCCTCCTCTGCATTCACAGGCCTGACTGTGCTGAACTTCTTGTAAGAAACTACAGCAATAAAAGCAAGAATCAAACACAAAATCACTCACTCGTTTTTTGCGTCAAAATTTGCAGAAATATCGGAAACAACAAGATCACGAGCATTCCCTCCTCTGCATTCACCGGCCTCGCTGCGCTGGAACAATTGTAAGCAAGGCAATAACAGGAAAAGCCACGCTCAATGACTCACTCGTTTCTGTAGGGATCTGGGAACCAACCAGATCACCAGCATTTCCGCCTCCGCGTTCGCGGGCCTGACTGCGATGTTTTCATTGTAAGCAACTCGAGCAAAGGAAGAAACACGTTCAAAGGACTCACTAGTTTGCGATACTGTCTGTAGGGATCTTCAGTCCAATAATATCACCAGCATTCCCGCTAATACATTCACCGGTCTCGCCGCGCTGTCTATGTTGTAAGCAGAATCACTCTCGCAAACGGTCACTCGCGAAAGGCTCACTTGATTGCGATTCTATCGGTAGATACATGCAAACCAACCTGATCACCAGCTTTGCGGCCTCTGCGTTCACAGGCCTCACTTCCTTGGGTTTCTTGTAAGGAAGCACAAGCGTCATGACGAATCACACACACACAAACGACTCACTCGTTTGCAACTCGCGATTTGTAGGGATTTATCCGCGAACCAGCTCACAGACATTGGCTCGTCTGAATTCACCGGCCTGAATGCGATGCAGCGATTGTAAGCGAACAAAAGACATGACGAGTCAACACAAGCCACTCACTATTTGTCATTTGTTGTAGGCTGCTGCACAACAACAAGATCACCAGCCTTTCTACAAACGCATTCGCGGGTCTGACTGCAACTGGACTGCAAGCCTTGTAAGCAAGCACTCCTGATGCAAATTTCCGATGTTGCCTCTCACTTCAGGATGCTTCTAGGACTTTGAATGGCAATCCCCTGACCACATTGCCGCCTGGTCTGTTTAAGGGCCTGCAAAATGGTTTGTACTTGTCGTACACATCCGACTTTGCCCAGCCGCTGAGCCCCAACAACTTTACCTTTGGTGACAACACTGTCGCTCCGCCCAGCACATACGGCACTGCATCCACTCCAAATAGTAAGTGTTTGAGAGGATGGCAATCACTAAGTGATCATTTCACTGACACTTTTGTGCTACAGAGTGTGACAAAGCCTGCGCCACCTGCTTTGCGGCTGGGTCCGCTGGGTGTTGCCCGAACAATTGCCTGTACTGCACTTCAACGTCTGTGTGCAGTCAGTGCAACGACGGTTATGTTCCAATGGGTGGATCATGCGTGTCGCTCGCGTCCATTGCTTCTGCTTCCAGCGCCTCCGTTGCTTCAGTCGCGTCCACGCAAGCTGCCTCGGTTGCGTCGCTTGTTTCCGCTACCTCAGAGCTCTCGGCATCCGTCGCGTCCCTTGCTTCTGCGTCTTCAGCCTCATTTGCCTCCGAGGTCTCTGCATCGTTTGCTTCCGTTGCTACTGCCTCTTCAGCCTCAGTTGCCTCCGAGGCGTCCGCGTCGGTTGCCTCCGATGCTTCCGCCACCTCAGCTTCTGACGCTTCCCTCGCTGAGGCGTCTTCAGCGTCAATTGCATCTGCTGCCGGCGCGTCGTCCGCCTCTGTCGCTTCTGAAGTTTCTGCTACCTCGGCATCCTTTGCTTCCATCGCGGCAGAGTCGTCAGCCTCGGTTGCATCCCAGGCATCCGCATCAGCAGCCAGTGCTTCGTCTGCGTGGCAGACATCGGCTGCATCTGCTGCGTCCAATGCTCCGAAAGGCTCAAGTGACTCAGAGTCATGGCCGATCATTCTCGGCGTGATTCTTGGCCTGTTAGCCCTCATCTTGTTGGCTGCGCTGGCTGTAGCTCTTCGGCGTCGTCGCGCACCAAAGTCATTGCCAGCCATCAGCGCAACCACCAAACCACGCGAATCTGCATCCGCCTCAGAGCCTACCTATCAGTCTGCTGATCACAGCACTGTGTCGAACGTTGTGAATCCAACCTACGAAGCTTTGTCTGCCGCTGGCAACCATGTCTTGTACGAGGATGTTGGCTCGATGCCCCAGGCTCCTCCTGTCGGTTTGTCGGAACAGGTGTATGCCGAAGCATCTGCGGTTGCACCCAGTTCAATGCAAGCATCAAGCAGCGGTGTCGAGTATGCCCATCCTTTGCTGCCTAACGCATCGTCTGTTCGTGTGCAGCCCGCGTCCACACCAACCACGTACTCGGCGATCACTGTTGTGCCATCCGAGCAGAAGTACGAAACGGCGTCTGCTACGCCCGCTCAAGCCTTGTACGAGGATGTCGGCTCGCAGCCCCGAGCTTCTGAAGGTGCCTCGGAGCTGCTCTATACCGAAGCGTCCACGGCTGGGTCTGGTGTCGTGTACGCCAATCCTTCGCTGCCCAATCCCTCGTCTGTTCGTCCGCCGCCAGAGTCCTCAGCAACCCCTTACGCGACAGTCGCTGCTGTGCCTTCGACGCAGAACGGAAATGTCGAGTACTCTTCGATCGCAATCTAGCAAACGAGCGTGGTTGGCTTGTGCTGTTGGAATCCCAGCAAGGCTTTGAGCACCCTCCCTCATCCTCATGCTTTCATCCTCAGTTCGACATTTTCAATAAACGTTCAAATTGGCTCTATGGTGTGGTTGTCGAGGGTTGCAGACGAACAGCGCCCGGTCTTTTCTCTGGCAGGCAGCATCGTGGTCGGTGCGCTTGCGAAACAATCTTGCCTTTCAAACCGAGAGTGTATTGGTATGCAACAGCGCTCACACCGTCGCAACTGCAAATTCTCGCAGAGCCTCGCCGCTGCGATTTGGCATTGCGAGGTTCTTCGTCCACCAAAGAGTTTGCCATCGGGGAGTGCACTCTGCGATGGACTCGTGTCTTATTGGACTGTAGCATCCGGGCAATGCACTCACTGGTATCCGTCCGCAGGTCGTTGTCGAAATGGCTTTGGGTTTTCATACGAGACTCGATGGAGGGGTGTGTGTGTGTGTGTTTGGCGGGTTTTTGTCGATTGTCTGCACGTCGAGCTTCACCGTCGCACACTCTGGATCATCAAACCAGCAATTTCCTCCGCTCGCACCGTCGCAAGAAAAGCACATCAACAAACGACCACAAAAATCACAACTCACAATTCTAGATTAAGATGGTGGCGGATCACTCTAATTTTGGTTGTTCTCCACAGTGAGGCAGATAGTTCACACCCATTCAAACCAGCAGCAACCTCGCTCTTGGAGTTCGCTTTCTCTCGCTCTTTTGTTGTTCAAGTGATTTCTGCCTCATTGCGAATGGCAGCTCAACGAGAGAGAGACGGAGACAGAGACAGAGACAGAGACGGGACATTGAGTTAACATTGAAATGCGGGGCTTTAATTTAAAATGTTTTTGTTTGTTTTTGCTTTTGTTGTTCCGTTTTGCCTTTTCAGAAGTGAGGTCGAATGGTTTTTCGCTGTTCTTTGCGCGCTGTCATCACTTCCCACTGCTGTGCCTTCATTCGGTGTTGCTTCATCACAACTCATCAGAGGGATTAGCCGGGGAGAGAGAGACACACACAGAGAGAGGCAGAGACACAGCTGGATGCGCGGTGGATTTCCCGCGCCCCATCAGCCGACGGGGTTTGAGAGCGCGTTCGTCGGCGTCTCTCGCTCTCCTGCAGGCGGATTGAACACAACAAACCCCCCCCCGACCCAGTGGATTTCTGTTCAAAGACAGCAGCGCGCGTGCTTGAGAAGGTGAAGGCAAGCCAGAGTGAGAGTGAGAGTGAGAGAGTGAGAGAGCAAAAGCCAACAAAATGGACACAAGGAGTGGAATCCCGCTTCGTTTCCGCGGAGGTGCAAACAACAAACAAACAAAAAACCGCAACCCGCTCAAAACATCCGCTCTCAAACAATAACGAACGCTGGGTCTCAATTGTGATTGGAAATTGGATTGTCGTGATGGGAATTGTGTGGCCCCATTCAACGAACCGTTCAGCGCTGCCGCATTTTCCAGTCTCTCGGTTGGAGTCGACCCTCTCTCTCTCTCTCTCTCTCTCTCTCTCTCTCTCTCTCTCTCTCTCTCTCTCTCTCTCTCTCTCTCTCTCTCTCTCTCTCTCTCTCTCTCTCTCTCTCTCTCTCTCTCTCTCTCTCTCTCTCTCTCTCTCTCTCTCTCTTGAAACACTGCAAACTCACTTTGCACTGTAAACTAACTGCCTCTGATTCAGATAACAGATGGCGAAGAAGAACGGATTTGCCGTTGGTCTGCTGCTTTTGCTGCTTTGCGTGATCCACCACGTCCACTTGTCGCAAGCAGTCGAAGCATGCGGAACTGGCGGCGCGTGCACTTGCTCGGGAAGTTACCTCAATTGCAATGGCAGATCTCTCACAGACTTTCCAACCGGAATCCCAGCGTCCACAACCATCCTGTCAGTGTTATCATCGAGTTGACCCTCCCTCGAATCGAAGCACTGTCCTGTGTTGCTAACTGACATGCGGACGATAGAATTATGAACGAGAACCCGATCACCAGCATTTCTGCCTCCGCATTGGCGGGCCTGACTGCGCTGACAAACCTGTAAGCAAACAACGACGAGGCACACACAACCAGCAGCTCACTGTGTTTGCGACACTACTGTCCCTGTAGGGTTTTGCAACAGAACCAGATCACCAGCATTGCTGAAGGCGCATTTGCAGGCTTGCCGGCACTGGTACAATTGTAAGCAAACACCTCCAGGAAGATTCGCCCAATCCACTCAACGGCCTCACTCGTTGGCAACTTGCTCTGTAGAGATCTGTCCGGCAACCAGCTCACCAGCATTCCCTCCGCTACAATCGCCGGCCTGACGACGCTGAAGATCTTGTAAGCACGCAAAGACGGGGCGAAATACGAGGTCATCCGTCTCACTCGTATGTGCAACGTTTGGTAGAACTTTGCACAGCAACCGGATCACCAGCGTGTCTGCAAACGCATTCGCAAGCTTGACTGCGCTGACCATGCTGTGAGTCAAGAAAGTTCTCAAGAATCACACATAAAAACAAGCTCATCCCATGAAAACACGCTCACCTGTTTGCGACACTGTGGTCTCTGTAGACGACTGGAACTGAACCACATCACCAACATTCAAGCAAACGCATTCACAGGCCCGTCTGCGCTGCAGCAGTTGTAAGTAGGCAAGCAAAGACATGACCCCCAGACACACAATCGGCTCATACATGACTCGGTCTGCAGACATATCTTCAGCAACCAGATCACCAGTATTCCCACCTCTGTATTCACAGGCCTGACTACACTAACGTTTTTGTAAGCAGCAAAGAATGAAGAATCACAAACCAGCGACTCACTCTTTTGTGACTCTATTTGTTGCAGAGGTCTGCACAACAACTCGATCACCAGCATTCCCCCAAACGCATTCTCAGGTCTCACTGCGATGAATACACTGTACGTGGAACGCTTAATGCATGGATTCGATTTGTCTCTGACTTCAAGTTCTCTAGGACTTTGAATACAAATCCCTTCACCACTTTGCCTCCTGGTCTGTTCATGGGCCTGAAAAATACCTTAACCTTGTCGTTGGCGAACCAATATCTTGCCCCCAACAACTTCACCTTTGATGGGAACACAGTCGCTCCACCAAGCACATACGGCGCTGTACAAACTCCATTCAGTACGTTGCAAGATGACTGCAATCTCCATTCGATCATTTTCACTCACATGTTTACCGCAGAGTGTAACACAGCCTGTGCCACCTGTTTTGACGGCTTCTCCAGTTCTTGTTGCCCGATCAATTGTCTGACCTGCGTTTCCCCCACGTTGTGCACCCGGTGCTACGAAGGATATGGCATATTGAGTGGATCATGTGTTCCGCTCGCTTCGCTTGCCTCGGCCGCCAGCGCGTCATCCGCGTCTATCGCCTCTGATCTTTCGGCCACATCGGCATCCTTTGCTTCCCTTGCTTCTGCATCTTCAGCTTCTACTGCATCTGTTGCAAGCGCGGCTATTGCTTCTGATGTTTCCGCGACCTCGGCATCCTTTGCTTCCATAGCTTCTGCGTCTTCAGCGTCAATTGCCTCACAAGTGTCTGCATCTGTCGCTTCCGATGTTTCGGCTACCTCAGCATTCTATGCTTCCATTGCGTCTGCGTCTTCAGCTTCCATTGCATCTGCTGCAAGCGCGGCAATCGCTTCTGAGGTTTCCGCTTCCTTGGCTACTGCGGCTTCAGTCTCTGCTGCATCACAGGCATCCGCGTCAGTTGCTTCTGCTGTTTCTGCCACCTCGGCATCCGATGCTTCCCTCGCTGCTGCCTCTTCAGCTTCGATTGCCTCTGACGCAAGCGTGGCATCCGCATCTGTCGCTTCAGTTGCTTCTGCTGTTTCCGCCACCTCGGCATCCGATGCTTCCCTCGCTGCTGCCTCTTCAGCTTCGATTGCCTCTGACGCAAGCGTGGCATCCACATCTGTCGCTTCAGTCGCTTCCGATGTTTCCACTATTTCGGCCTCCTTTGCTTCTCTTGCTACTGCGTCTTCAGCTTCCGTCGCCTCACAGGCGTCTGCATCTATTGCAAGTGCTTCTTCAGTTTGGCCGACATCTACTGCGTCTGCTGCATCCGCCGCGTCCACTGCTCCAAAAAGTTCCAGCGATACAGATTCATGGCCTATTATTCTTGGAGTCATTCTTGGCCTGTTGGCTCTCATTTTGTTGGCTGCGCTGGCCGTGGCCCTTCGGCGTCGTCGCTCACCCAAACCATTGACTAACAACAGCACGGAGCCGACCTACCAGCAGCACAGCAGCACTGTGTCGAATGTTGTGAATCCAACCTATGACGCGTTGACTCCTACTGGCAACCACGCCTTGTACGAACACATTGACTCAAAGCCTCAGGCCCCTGTGGGTTTATCGGAACAGGTGTATGCCGAAGCATCTGCGGTTGCATCCAGTTCAACAAGCAGCGGTGTCGAGTATGCTGATCCTTTGCTGCCTAGTGCCTCTTCTGTTCGTGTGCAGCCCGCGTCCACACCAACCACGTACTCGGCGATCACTGTTGTGCCATCCGATCAGACATACGAAGCGGTGTCTGCTACTGGCATCCATGCCGTGTACGACGATGTTGACGCAAAGACCCGCCAGGCTCCCGTGGGTTCGTCGGAACTGCTCTATGCCGAGGCGACTGTGTCTGCATCCAGTGAAACGAAAGCGTTCTCGTCTGTCGGTGTGGCACCTTCCGAGCCGATCGGGAATGCTGACTACACGTCGATCTCAAACTAGCGAACGAGTGCTGTTCGAATCCCTGCTCGACTTGTTGCCTGTTATTGTCATGCATCTCCATTGCTCAAATAGTTTCACCTTGATTTCTGCTTCCTTTCAAACCGAATTTAATCATTTCAACACAACGCGAACGCATGAGACGGACGAGCGCAACCAAAATGCTTCAGTCGCCTGCTACCATGCTTCAACAACGCTTGAAGCTGGGCGCCATGATCTCCGTCGGCGCCGGGTGCTGCAAGACGTGAGGTGAGCCGAACCACGGTCTGCTGCGCCGCGATAAACTCTTTCTCGGCTCTCTCAGCGCGCTGCCGCTTCAGTCCGTAATCTTCATCCAACGCTCGCAGCCTCATCTTGATTTGATTTTGTTGCTCACTCAGCTGGGCTGCTTCCATCGACATGCGCTGTTGCTCGCTCGACATTAGTCCCACACTAAATTTCCGCTTGTACAAGTTGGTTTTGAGGGTTTGGCAATCGCAATCAGCTATTGTTTCCTCAAAGGATGTCTACGTCTTGTTCCTGGCATTGATCAAGCGAACAGAATCGTGGTTGGCGCGATCGCGATCGCGGTCACGGTAAACTAAACCGATGCCGATCATCTAAACTCATCTCTCACTGCGCGCTGTCCGAACGAGTCGAGACCACTCACTGGCATCCGTCCGCACGTCGTTGTCGATGTGCTTTGATCGCGATGCAAACTCTTTGCCGTTGTTTGCCGTCGTTTGCCGTTGTTTTGTTATTGTTGTTGTGGTTTGTGTTCTTTGATTGCACGTTTTCCCATTTGTTTGGTTTATTTTTTTTGCCTCTGTTGTGTCCGTTGTTGGAGGGGTCGTCGCGATGACCTGTCATGCACGGCTTCACATAGTCTCAACTGTGATAGCCCCCGCCCGCAGAGTCGAAACAGACGGTCAGCAACGAATGCTTAAAATCACAATTCAAACGCGTGATGGTGGCGCGGGTCACTCTATTTTGGTTGCCCCCAACAGCAGCAAAACAGTACGCCCAATCAACATCCGCATCAACCCCAATCAACAAACCACTCTCGCATTTCGATTCGCTTGTGTTTTTGAAGTGATCTCCGCCTCACAGCGGAAGGCGGTCGTGGGCCGCTGAGCGAGCGAGTGGCATCGGCAGATAGCGGAGCGGGAGCCACGACACGTCCTCTGCCGCTGTTTCGCTTTCTCTCTTTCCCTCTCTTTCTCTCTCCCCCTTCTGACCCCCCTCCGACGCGATCCACTGCAACCCACTTCTGAAACTAAGGCAGACGTACTTGACAGAGCGCAAGGAACAGTGGCGCCCGTGAGACTGGTTTTGAAAACAAAACAAAGCCAATCAAAACAACAAAAACAACTGAAAAAGGAAAATTCAATTTACAAACACCGGCACGAACGAGTCAACTTTTCAAGCCTTGCGGTCGAGGTGCTGATGCGGAGTCGCCTCTGCCGGTCGCTCGCGTGAAGGCGTATTGTTGTTGGCCACCAAAGCCAAGTGGAGGTCGCCAACGAAAGAAGCGCGTGCTGGCACGGCGAAGAGCGGCGAGGAGCCGGCATGAAAGGAAAGGACACAAGTTGGAATTTGCTGAGTTCGGTGGGCGGGGAGGAACAAACCGCAATGACGCTCTCTCTCTCTCTCTCTCTCTCTCTCTCTCTCTCTCTCTCTCTCTCTCTCTTTCTCTCTCTCGAACCGGGCGTCTGTTCAAAATCTGCTTACTCACGTTGACGCCGTGATGCCTCAGATTCGCAATCCTCAACAGATGGCAACGAACGGATTTGCCTTTGGGCTGCTGCTTTTGCTGCTTTGCGTGATCAATCGCGTCCACTTGTCGCAAGCAGTCGATGCTTGCACCGCGTGCAGTTGCTCGGGAATCACCGTGGATTGCACGAGCAAATCGCTCGCTGAGATTCCAACCGCAATCCCACTCGCCACAAAGTTGCTGTAAATGTTGACCATCGAGTTGGCCTTTGAGCTGAACCATTGCCTCTCCTCATTTGGCATCCGATTTGATAGGTATCTGCAGGACAACCAGATCACCAGTATTCCTGCGTCGGCATTGACTGGTCTGACTGCGTTGACCAACCTGTAAGCAAGCAACGACGTGAGACTCACACACATCCGACAGCTCACTCTGTTTTTGCGACGATGCATACAGAGTTTTCCTTCGCAACCAGATTACCAGTGTTGATGCAAATGCATTCACAGGCCTCACTGCGCTGACTTACATGTAAGCACGCAACGACCGCTAGGATCTCGTGCAAATTTCTCACTCGTTGGCAACTCCATCTGCAGGGATCTGTCCTACAACCAGATGACCACCATTCCCTCCTCTGCGTTCACAGGCCTGACTATGTTGAACTTCTTGTAAGAAACCACAGCAGTATCAGCAAGAATCAAACGCGAAACCACTCACTCGTTTTTTTCATCAAACTTTGCAGAAATATCGGAAACAACAAGATCACTAGCATTGCCTCCTCTGCATTTCCAGGCCTGACTGCGTTGGGACAATTGTAAGCAAGGCAATAACAGGAAAAGTCACGCTCAATGGCTCACTCGTTTCTGCAGGAATCTGGGAACCAACCAGATCACCAGCATTTCCGCCTCCGCATTCGCGGGCCTGACTGCGATGTTTTCATTGTAAGCAACTCGAGCAAAGGAAGAAACACGTTCAAAGGACTCACTAGTTTGCGATACTGTCTGTAGGGATCTTCAGTCCAATAATATCACCAGCATTCCCGCTAATACATTCACCGGTCTCGCCGCGCTGTCTATGTTGTAAGCAGAATCACTCTCGCAAACGGTCACTCGCGAAAGGCTCACTTGATTGCGATTCTATCGGTAGATACATGCAAACCAACCTGATCACCAGCTTTCCAGCCTCTGCATTCACAGGCCCCACTTCCTTGGGTTTCTTGTACGCAATCACAGACATCAACGAATCACTCTCGCAAACGGTTCCGAAAGTCACTTGATTGCGCTTCCATCTATAGATACATGCAAAACAACCTGATCACCAGTATTCCCACAGACGCGTTCAGAAACCTGACTGCGCTGAATACCTTGTAAGGAAGCGAGGACATGACGAATCAACAGCCAGAGCGCTCACTCGTTAGAAACTCGCTATTGGCAGGGATTTATCCACAAACCAGATCGCCAACATTCCCTCCGCTGCAGCCACAGGCTTGACTGCGGTGGCACAATTGTAAGGAAGCGAACATGCGACGAATCAACACCCAAACGGCTGACTCGTTTGCGACACTATCCACAGGCGACTGCACGCCAACCAGATCACCAGCCTCGCCGCTAACGCATTCACAAACCTGACTGCATTGATAGTATTGTAAGCCAAAACGCCCAATGCATGTGATCGATTTTACTTCTCACTTCAAAGTGGCCGTTAGGACTTTGAGTGACAATCCCCTGACCACATTGCCGCCTGGTCTGTTTAAGGGCCTGCGAAATGGTTTGTACTTGTCGTACACGTACGACCTTGCCCAGCCGCTGAGCCCCAACAACTTTACCTTTGGTGACAACACTGTCGCTCCGCCCAGCACATACGGCACTGCATCCACTCCATATCGTAAGTGTTTGAGAGGATGGCAATCACTAAGTGATCATTTCACTGACACTTTTGTGCTACAGAGTGTGACAAAGCCTGCGCCACCTGCTTTGCGGCTGGGTCTGGTTCGTGTTGCCCGAACAATTGCCTGTACTGCACTTCAACGTCTGTGTGCAGTCAGTGCAATGACGGTTATGTTCCAATGGGTGGATCGTGCGTGTCGCTCGCGTCCATTGCTTCTGCTTCCAGCGCCTCCGTTGCTTCAGTCGCGTCCACGCAATCTGCCTCGGTTGCGTCGCTTGTTTCCGCTACCTCAGAGCTCTCGGCATCTGTCGCGTCCCTTGCTTCTGCGTCTTCAGCCTCATTTGCCTCCGAGGTTTCTGCATCGTTTGCTTCCGTTGCTACTGCCTCTTCAGCCTCAGTCGCCTCCGAGGCGTCCGCGTCGATTGCCTCTGATGCTTCCGCCACCTCAGCTTCTGACGCTTCCCTCGCTGCGGCGTCTTCAGCGTCAATTGCATCTGCTGCAGGCGCGTCGTCCGCCTCTGTCGCTTCTGAAGTTTTCGCTACCTCGGCATCCTTTGCTTCCATCGCGGCAGAGTCGTCAGCCTCGGTTGCATCCCAGGCATCCGCATCAGCTGCCAGTGCTTCGTCTGCGTGGCAGACATCGGCTGCATCTGCTGCGTCCAATGCTCCGAAAGGCTCAAGTGACTCAGAGTCATGGCCGATCATTCTCGGAGTGATTCTTGGCCTGTTAGCCCTCATCTTGTTGGCTGCGCTGGCTGTGGCTCTTCGGCGTCGTCACGTACCAAAGTCATTGCCAGCCATCAGCACAACCACCAAACCACGCGAATCTGCATCCGCCTCAGAGCCTACCTATCAGTCTGCTGATCACAGCACTGTGTCGAACGTTGTGAATCCAACCTATGAGGCTTTGTCTGCCGCTGGCAACCATGTTTTGTACGAGGATGTTGGCTCGACGCCCCAGGCTCCTCCTGTCGGTTTGTCGGAACAGGTGTATGCCGAAGCATCTGCGGTTGCGCCCAGTTCAATGCAAGCGTCAAGCAGCGGTGTCGAGTATGCGCATCCTTTGCTGCCTAACGCATCGTCTGTTCGTGTGCAGCCCGCGTCCACACCAACCACGTACTCGGCGATCACTGTTGTGCCATCCGAGCAGAAGTACGAAGCGGTGTCTGCTACGCCCGCTCAAGCCTTGTACGAGGATGTTGGCTCGCAGCCTGAAGCTTCCGCAGGTGCGTCGGAGCTGCTCTATACCGAGGCGTCCACGGCTGGGTCTGGTGTCGTGTACGCCAATCCTTCGCTGCCCAATCCCTCGTCTGTTCGTCCGCCGCCAGAGTCCTCAGCAACCCCTTACGCGACAGTCGCAGCTTTGCCTTCCGAGGAGGTCGACTATTCTTCGATCGCAAACTAGACCATTGTGCATTTTCCAATCTTGCTTGAATGTTTGTTGTTCTCGTCTCGCTCTGAAATCCCCATAAATTTCTCTTTGATGTCTGCTTGCTTCAACTCCCAAACTCCACAATTCGACCGAACCGTACTCATCACACTTCAGGTTGATCAGATGATGTTGAATTCGTTGCAACTTGGTTCTCGTTCGATTCGCCTGACCATTGTACCTCTCCGTTCCAACGCAATTTTATTTTGCACCATCGAACGATGCAGTCTCCAGAGCACTGGGTCTTGAAGCATTTCTTCTCATCCTCACTTCATGCCAGCCAATGCTGACAAGGCGATGCCTTTTATTTTCGATGCCGCTTTTGTTCTTTTGGTTGTCGTTCCACCAGCCATCTTGTCTCCGTTCTTGACCTCTACCAATTCATTTTCTTCCCAATACCCTTCACCTGCCTTATTTCATGAGTACCTGATTCCTGTTGAATCAGCGCTATTCCCAATTCTTCACCCTTCGCTTTGTTTCGTTTCAGTCCTTTTTTCTTCAGTTTTTTTTTAATCAGTCTTTAGTTTCCGTATACCTTATTGTTCGCGTTAAAATTCCGATACGCGGCTCTAACTAAGCCCTCCTACCCCTTTATCTCTCTCTCTCTCTCTCTCTCTCTCTCTCTCTCTCTCTCTCTCTCTCTCGCTATGGACTCGATTCGCCGCGCGCTCAGCACGTTCACGCTGCGCGGCAGCCCGCCGCCGCTCGTGATTCCGCAAGACCCTGACATGGTATGGCTCGCCGCCCCACCACGCAACCCGCGCGACTCGCCCGAGCCGAATACGCAGCCAGAATTGCACCAAACAATCTTAATCCTTGTCATTCAATCCTCCACAAGCTCAAATCCTCAAAAATGCCTCAAAACCCATCCATACAGTACAATGCTCAATGTTCAACTCAAATGCTCATTTTCAATTGTTTCAAGTAGGTCGATGAGATGGTCTGCGCTGCCATCATTGCGAATGACACGAGACAACTCGCTGCGTTGGCCGACTCGCCCAAATTCAACGTCAACCTCCAGTTTGGCAGAGCAAGACGAACGTTTCTGCACGTCGCAGTCGGGTAATGAAACAACAAAACCATATAGAAATGCATTGAAACCGCGTGGAATCTGCATTGAACAAAAACTCAGACTCAAAAGTGTCCAACAACTCACCGAATGCATCCCTTTCGTGTGTTTGAATGTGCTGAACATTGAATCATACACGCAACACACTGCTGCTGCTGCTGATGATGATGATGATGATGATGATGATGGCAGCGTGTCGGCGGTAGACTGCGCGCTGTTGCTGCTCAAGCGAGGCGCGGATCCTAATCTGGGAGACGCCGGCGGAAACACCTCTCTGCACCTGGCCGCACGGAACGGACTGAAAAAGGTCATGAAGGTACTGCTCGAGCACAAGGCAGACCTCACGGCGGCAAACTCGGACGGCTTTACCGTGACGCATTGGCTTGCCTCGAACGGGCGCCTGGAGCTGATGAACTACTTGCTGGATCTCAAGGTGCCCATGGAGGTGACCGACACCCAAGGCCAGACGCCTCTGCACGTGGCTGCCATGAATGGGCATCGCGAGATTGTCCAGCTGCTGCTCGACGCGCATGTCGATGTCGACAAGAAAGACCGCAATGGGCGCACCGCGTCCTTCTTTGCCGCGCGCTACGGCCAAACAGACTGCCTACGGCTACTGCTCACGCGTGGAGCAGTGCCAGTGCCCGATTCTGCGGGCGTCTCGCCGCTGCACTTGACCGTGCGTGGTGGCTTCCGTGACTGCGTGCATCTTCTCGTCAAGCGCGACCCTTCGCGCTGCCTGGACACTGTCCTGCAGATTGTTTCGCAACCTGGCATGGAGGATGACAAAGCGCTCCCCGTGCTAAAGTACGTGGCCGAAGAAGGAGGCGGCGCCCTGCGTCCAATGGTCATGTCCAAGCTGGCCGCGTTCATTGCCAACGAAGGCCAGCAGCTGCTGTCCTTGCATTCCGATGTTGATGCGGTATCGTCCAATTTCATCCGCATGGTCAAGTTGTTTGCCGAGCTCTTGCATGCCTTTGTCTCCTGGCCAGGCATTGACCAGTACATTGGAATTGTGGGGCGCGACGATGACAATCCGAGCCCGTTGCCCAAGTCGACGAGCAATTCGTCATTTTCAACCTTGTCTTCGCCCTCTGCCACATCTGGTTTGAGCACGAGCGCGGGCGGTGCATCGAGCTCCTCCTCCTTCGCCGCAGGAAATCCCAGCAGCAATACTACCAGCTCGTTGCCTCGGCGAAACAGCAACACGAGCGGCTTGCGTTTTGGGTTTGGCCATGCACGCACGAGCAGCGCTACTTCGTCCAACGCCACCACTCCGTCCAACAACAGCAGCAACAACAACGAGGGCTCAAGTAGCAGTAACAACAACAACAACCCGATGGGCAGCACGAGCAATTCAGTCCTTGCTCCGATGCTCGCCGTGTCCACCTCCAGCTCGTCTGGCACAAGTCCGACAGCGCCAGGTCCCGTGTCTTCGCTGGCTGCGCCGTCCACACCTACCCGCAACAACGAAGAGCAACCCATTGCCAGGTCGGGCTCCATCTCCATCCCTTCCCCGTCGATGGTCATTTTGGGGGCGACGGACGACGCCAGCCACTCGCATGGCGGAGCTGTTCTGCTTGAATCGTTGTGGACTGCATTGGAAGAGTGGCTGGCCCTGCTGGCCCAACAAACGGCGGGCACCAGCGGCACGAGCCCGAGCGTGGGATTGAGTGTCGCGCCAGCAGTGCTGGTCACGCCAGAACCGGGTATTGCACCGTCGTCCGTCGCCACTGGCCCAGACTCTCCCGCCACTGGCACAGACGCTCCCGCTGAAACCGACGCACCCTCGGCTCTTTCGAGTCGAGCTGCCGAGAAGCGCAAAAGCCGCTTGGCCGAGGACACTGAGCGTTCCGTTCCCGCTCTTGCACTTTCAACAACATCGTCCTCGCCTCCTCAGAGTTCTACCGACCATGCTCCTTCCGACCTGATGCGTCTGTATGCAGACCGACTTGCGTGCATCATCCATGGCTTTTACTTGTGCTGCTCGCGCAAGAGTTCAGCCTTGCCGCCGCGTTTCCTCCAATTCGTCTACCGCCATTGCGCCACCCTCCGGCGATTCGTCGAACGCAACCCCATCATAATCTTTAAGCACTTTCATTTTCTGCTCGACCATAGCCTCCTTATGGACCGGTTTATCGATGTGGTTCGGGCACAGCCGTTCGCCCTGCGTCGTGAGTGGTTTTTCGAAAACCTGACTAGCGACTCCCATGTGGACGACAGCATGTTCCTGGACGAGAGCAAGGTGATGGTGGTCGAGCGTGAAAACCTCTTCCAAGCGTCCTGCGGTGCCCTTTCGAAGAAATCGGCAGACGAGCTGCGCAATCCGTTTGGCATTCGATTCCGCGGAGAAGCGGGCGTTGGAGCTGGTGTTCGCCGGGAGTGGTTTGATTCGCTGTCGCACGAGATTCTCGACCCAAACTATGCCCTGTTTGTGCCCTCGGAAGACGGATGCACGTTCCAACCGAACCCCAACTCGCACATCAATCCCGACCACTTGTCCTACTTTCGCTTTGCAGGCCGCGTGATTGGCATGGCGCTCTTCCACCGCCAGCTCCTCGACGTTTACTTTACGCGCTCGTTCTACAAGCACATTCTGGGAATCCCAATCAGCTATGCCGATGTCGAGTCCATCGACCAGGGCTACTACAAGAGCCTGCAGTGGGTGCTGGACAACCAGATTGAAGGCAGCGAGCTCGATCTGGTCTTTGCCATTGAAGTGGATAACTTTGGCAAGGTTGATCTCATCGAGCTCAAGCCCGGCGGTGCTCACATTGCCGTGACGGATGAGAACAAGGTATGAGCAACCAAAAAAGAAAAAAAATGAGGGAAAAAAACATACTGGAGAGGTGGTGGCTTTTGCTTGCAGCTGGTGTTTTTAACACTTGGTTGGCATTCGAAATTTGTAGGCGGAATATGTCCAGCTGGCCACCCAGCTCAAAATGACGTGCGCGATTGGACCTCAAATCTGCTCCTTCTTGGATGGTATGTGCTTTGTTGCGATTCTGTTTTGACTGGTGATGCTCACCTCCTCTGCTGTGCGGTCGCGTAGGCTTCCACGAGTTTGTCCCGGCTTCGCTCGTGGCAATCTTTAATGAATACGAATTGGAGCTGCTGATCAGTGGAAGCAAAGAGATTGACATTGCAGACTGGGAGGAGCACACTGCGTACAATGGGTTTGAAAAGACGGATTCTGTTATCAAGGTGCGTTGGGGGGGTGCATGATTGGTGCTGTAGGGGGTTGTGTCATGTCCCTAACTGTCTTTTCCCCAATTTTGTGCGTTTGTTGTACCAGTGGTTTTGGGAGATGGTGCAGCAATTCCCAAAAGATCAGCGGATTATGCTACTGCAGTTTGTCACTGGCTCTTCACGGGTTCCACTGGGCGGATTTGCCAATCTCATGGGCGTTTCGGGGAAGGAGGCATTTACAATTAGCAAGTTAGATGACAGCGTGGAGCGTCTGCCGAGCGCGAGCACATGGTGAGCGTCGATATTCGATTGAATTGATTTGCTATGGCAGGATGGTCAAACTGACAGTACTATCGTCTCTTTCTTTGATCGCACAGCTTTAACCTGCTCAAAATGCCCGCGTATTCGTCCGCCGCAATGGTCGTGGAGAGGTTTCAGATGGCGTTGGCTGGCGGCAGCAAGCAATTTGACTTTGCGTAGCTGCGTGTTTTGGTGTGGTTGCGTCGTCAACCTCTTGTTTGTCGTTTCATCTCGGTATGAGGGAAAAGTTGTTTCAACTTTGAGCAATTCGTACATCTCTCTTAAGCATGTCAAGGAAAAATAAAGCGCGCTGTAACATTGGCGTTCCATGTGTCTGGCAAACAGCGATTCGAATCGCACACAATTTGCACAGTTGAACCTGAGCTTCCCAACCCTCGCGCATTTTGCCGGATGATGGTCGGAGTCGCTGGCGAGATGCTCACAACAACAGTCGCATCGAGGACAGTCGTCCGTTCACTACTTTGACCTCCTTTTGGTCGTGAGCATTTTGCAAGTATGTGTGATTCGGATCGCTTCTGGTGTTCACAATACTAGATCTGATGTACAGCACCGTGCTACAGTATGAGAGGGAGGAGGGATGCAGAAAAGCACGCCGTGGAAGGAGTACCGAGTGAGAAAAACCAACTTGTTCCTTTTTCTTCACTTTTTTTTTTCTTTCCATTTTCCAAATCTCAACTGAATCAAATGTTTTCTGACTCTTTTTTTCTTCTTCTTCTTCTTTTTTTCTTTTCCTTGTTTTCTGACTTTTGAAAATTCGCTTCTTTTTTTCGAACTTGAAGTCGCTTTTTTTGATTTTCTTTTCTTTCTTCTTATTATTTAATTTTTCATTTCATTTTTATTTTTATTATTTTTTATTATTTTTTATTTTTTTATTATTTTCCACTCTTTTCTTCTTTGATTCCACGCCATGTCTTCTTCTTCTTCAGCCAAGCGACCGCTGCTGACGGACGCCGACTACGCTCCACTCAGCACGTCCAACTACAACACCAGCGACGGCTCTGGCTCTGGCTCTGGCTCATCGTCGAAGGGCGGCAAAAAGCAGCGTCGGCATAAATCCGGCGGCTCAATTCTGTCAGCAGACCCCGAAACGACCTCGATCACGTCCTCGACCTCGACCTCGACATCGACCTCGACCTCGCGCAAGTCACTCGCATCGACAACCGTCGACGACGACGCATTCAACTACGCGACGTCGTCCGGCCAGCGATCGTCCAGAGACTCTGGCTCAAACTCGAGCTCAAAGGGCAACATCAACAGCTACGGCGAGTATGGCTTGCACAGCTCGTCGTACTCGTCGCTGTCGTCGTCCAAGTCGTCGCGGTGCTGTGCAAAGTCGAGCGACAAGCGATGCTGCTGCGGACGGCTGACGCGGTGCCAGTGCGGCGTGCTCGCGACCGTCCTCACGCTCGGCTTGCTCGGTCTCGCCTTCATTGTCCTCTACTTTGCCATCCTCCCAAAGATTGTCCAGAACACGGTCGACGGATCCCACGTCGAAATCTTGGAAATGAGCATGCTCGCTCCTCTGAACACCTCCGTCGTCATGGCGTCGCAGCTCCGCCTCTCCAACGCCGGAAGCTTTGACGCAACTCTGCATCCAGCCAACATGGTCTCCTCGTTCAAGGGCGTCGGATTTGGCATCATCCCGGGATCGACCGTCGAGATCAAAGGTACATGCAAAAGCAAAGCAAAGCATGATCCGAAACAACAGAAAAAGTCCCCCCCCCATTACGGGGTGGACTTGGTGCGCAAGGTTGGCTGTTGCGGCGGCGGTGAAAATTGGAAACCCCCGCACCGCACCACACGCAGATGCCGAGTATCACGAGCAGACCTCGTGTGGCATCAGCAGTCGTGTTCCATGTTGAGAGAATTTGGTGATGTGTGGAGCGAGATTATCGTTGAAAGCGGCACCTCGTTGTTGGTTCCGTTTTTGTTATTGTCCGTGCGTTGGTTGTTTGGTTTATTGGTGCAAGTTGAATGCACACTGGGAAACGAGAACACAACGGACGAACGGTCAGTCGTGCACGCTTTGGTTCTAACCACTCTTTGCATGTTTGCTTGCTTTTTGATCTCTTTGTGTTGATCAGGAGGAGAGGATGTTATCTTCGCCCTGGACAACCGTCTGCAGGTCATCAACATGGACGGCTTTAACAACTTTAGCATTGCTCTGACCAACAACCCGGAGGTTGAAATGGGCCTGAAGGCGACCGTCTCGCTCACCGTCCATCTGGGTCCGATTGATCTGACTTTTGACGGCATTGATTTTTCCAAGACCATCACCCTGACTGGTAAGTGCACCAAGACATGCAAGCTTGTCGTTGCTGACCATGCGACCAATTGAGCTCACTTTTTTTTTTTTTTTTTTTTCGTTTGTTCCATCTAGGTTTCAACGGACTTAAAAACCTCACCCTCGATGTGTTCGAAATGGACGTCGACCCGGTGACCAACCACGCCATCTCGTCCGTGCTGGTGAGCATTATCAACCCTTCGAAGGTCTCAGTCGTTCCGCTCGGCAACGTGACCTTCTCGATGTTCTACCAAAACTCGTACATTGGCTCGCTCTTCTCCTTCAACCTCACCATGCTGCCTGGAGTCAACCCAACCTCCATGGCTGGACCCCTCATCCCGGCAAACATTACGGTGGCCAACCAGCTGTTCACGCAGTATCTGTCCGGCAAGCCATCGCTTCTGAACGCTCGGCCCGTCCAGCCCGTCGCCACCACCATCCCGCTCTACAATGCCTTCCTCGAGACGCTGAGCCTGGATGTTGTGCTGAACGGCCGCACCGACTACCTGCTCTTGACGGGCTACATGGACCTTGGCAACCTCGTGGAGGTTTTTGAAAATTTGCTCAAGGGTGAGGTGGTCACCCCGACCGCCCTGCTGATGAAAAACCCCTTCAATGCGCCAATCAACCTCGTCATGTCCCACCTGTCGATTGTCTACAAGAACGTCCAGGTCGCCACATACCACCGCGACATGCACGACGACCCCGTCGTCCTCAACCCCAACTCCAACACTCTGTCCCGCGACCTCCCGATCGCCATGAGCTTTTTGCATTTGCCTGATTTGCTCCAGTCGTTCATCGATGAGCTGGGCAAGGGCTATGTGCCGCTTGGCATCAATGGCACCATGGGCATTCGCATTGGCGATCTTGAAAACACGATCGAGTACAACGAGCCCCCGGTTCCGATTTGCCACAAGGGCACCATGGCCATGTGCAACATTACCATTCCTGCGTGAACACACAAAAACACCAAAGAGAGTTGTGTCGCGCGATGTGATTGATTATTGCTTTTAATAGGCGAAGTGTGTGTGAGTTTGTGTGAGTGTGTGTGTGAGTGAGTGTGTGTGAACGCATGGAGCCTTTTGTGTTGCATTTTGACGTTTGATTTGTGTATTGAATGGGAAGTTGATTTTTTGCATCTGCTTCGGTTCAAGTGCGTTTTGGCACAACATTTCCAACATTTGCGATGGTAGTCTCGAGAGCTCCAGCTTGGAATCACATTTTGTAATGTAACGGGACAACGAACAAAAATAACTAATTGACTGAAACGACGACTCTGAGATGCTCACTGTATTGTGCCAATGAAGCAACAGGACTGCAGCTGTGCACAGCAACCGACCAAAAGTAAAGTATCTGCTCGCTGTCTAAATCTGTTGAAAGGTAACACACTCTCGTTACGCATAAGCAACAGAAGCATTGTCCTCTTGCCGCTGACGACGACGGTAGAGGGGCGACTTGAGGGAGAGCGCGTTGAACGTCAAGGACCGAGCGACGCTGTGCGGTCCAAGCAGTCCGTTGTCTTGCAAGAACTCGTCCTGCTCATCCATTCCAAGCAGCATTGGCGAGGATGCAATCGACGCATCGTTGGCAGACCGCATGGAAATCGGCGAGTCGTCTCCGGAGAATGGCGGCAACGACTCGGCCATTTCGTCAGCAACGGCTTCCACATCCGAAATTTCACACTGCAAATCGCGTTGCTGTTGAGCTGTGGTAACCACATCTAGATAAGGCTGCAGCAAAGCTTTGGACCCGCGGAGCACTGCCGGGGATTGCAGCGGGAGACGCGAGCCGCGCTGGGCAACCCAAGGGTGGCACAGGACGTTTTCCGCCGAAAGACGGCTTGATGGATCATGTACGAGCAATTCAGTGACCTGTCATGGAAAGAGGAAGGGAGGGAGGGAAAGTGAGAGGGTTCAGGCCAGAACGATCAATCGAACATTTTTTGTTCGTCAAAATTTTGCAACAAACTCCACGGCCGCCGCTACATACGAGGTCTTTCGCCGACGAGGAGATGGTCTTCCATTCTTTTTGCTCGAAATCAAACTCTGCGGCCTCAACTGCATCTGCAATGAGGTCTTGGCAGTACTCGCAGCTGCGGCCTTCGGAAAAACCGCACTTGCGTCCACAATGTCGCGTAAATGGCGCCGTGCCGCAGAGTAGCACATATCTAGACAGTGAGGCAAGAGGAGAGTTAGACTTGCTTGTATCGCAAACGCACCTGAATCATCAACCATTCGCAGTTCGCGCACCGTCCATCCCAGACTTACAAGAGCACACCAAAGCTCCAGAGGTCGCACGCTTTGCCGTAGCCCGACTTGTCCCAGGGATTGCTGAGAGAGTGGGCAATTTCCGGAGCCACATACTCCATTGTACCGACGGGCGTCTGCAGCATTGGGGTGGCCGCGGCTGTTGCAGAGCGGCTGGGGCGCGGAGAGTGCAGAGCGCTCACCAGACCGAAATCGGCGAGCTTGACTGGAGTGATGCGTGTCGTAGTAGCGCACAGAATGTTGGCGGGCTTGAGGTCGCGGTGGGCAATGTGACGTGCGTGCAGAAACGCAAGAGCGCTCGCAATGTTTTGTGCAACAATGCTGGCATCCTGCTCCAGCAAGGGCTGTTGGGTCGAGTTGGACGTGCTGTCGCGGATGCGATCGAGGAGCGCACCACCCGCGAGTTGCTCGGTGACGAGGTAGCAGCGATCGAGGGTGACGGTGCATCCGCCAGATTGTGTTTGGTAGTCGGCATCAGAGCAGTCCAGCAGCACATCCACGAGTTGCAGAATGAAGGGATGCCCTCGACACAGTGTCAGGACGGCAATTTCGCGCGCCACATACTCGTCGCCAATCCACTTCATGAGACGCTCTGGCGACGTTAAAATCCCGGGCGTAGCCAGCACTCCAAAGGCGCCTGGCTTGACTGCGAGGTTGGTCATTGACGATGCTCGTGATGTCAACGTCGACATTGATGCTGGAGTTGCAGCCCGTGCGAATCCGGTTTGTGTTCCAGTAGTTGTTGTTGCGATGGTTCCATTCGTTGCATTGGATCCAGTTCCAATAGTTTCATTCACTCCAGCGTGTCCATTCAATCCAGCAGTAGTAGTAGCACTTGTTCCATGCACTCCGTTCGTTCCAGTAGAACTTGTACTAGGATTAGTATGGTTTGTGCTGTGATTCGTATTGGTTCCAGCACGGACGCCGTTCAGTCCCGTTCCAGCAGCTGCCGCCGCTCCGATGGTTCCAACAGATCCAATGGGTCCAGCTCCACTTGTCCCAGTGGCAGTGATATCGCCATTGCCCAGAGTGCTCGCTTCGAGGAGCGGCAGCATTGAATCCGCAGGGAAACCGCTGCTTGTTGGACTCGGGTCTGCCGCCAGCGCGACCTTGCACGGCGATTCGATCTGGATGACCTTGACTGCAAGTTGAGCTTTTGGTGAAGCGGACGGGCTCAGATGGGCGCACGAGTAGACGTGAGCTTGGCGGCCGTTTCCCAATGCAGCGCCCAGCGAATAGTGCGCATCGAACGGCGTCAGTGCGTAGAGCGGCTGCACTTGGACGCCATGGCTCGTACTATTGGTATTATTATGACTATTGATATTGGTTGTAGCGGTTGGGAGTGCAGCAAGTCCGCGCCAAGTCAGGTTGGACATTGTTGTGTGTTTGTTTGGCTCAAACAATCGCCCAAAGAAGGTAATTCTGAGACAGAGTGAATGCTAAAATGCAAAACAATAATGATACAAGACAAGAGTGAACACAATGAAAATCAAAGACGGATGTTGAAGGGCAAAGCACAAACAAAACAAAACGAAACAAACGAACAAAACGAAACGAAACAAACGAAACAAAAAAAGTCATAGCTTTCGGTCTTAGCAGTCGAAGCGAAGCGGTTGAGAGTGAGAAGGTGATGGCATTGCGACCGCTTTGTGGATTTCTCTGAGGTGTAGACCGATGAGCGACGGACTGGGACAGAGTTGTCTGATTCAATCAGGCGAAACACTCGTCTTAGTCGAGGTCACTGGCAAATGTCGAGGCTCGTGGAGAGCGACAACTACACAAGATTCCACTGCAGTGATCGAATCAAAGACACTCCGTTCTTGATCCGCTCCTAGCACTTTCAGCAGAGTCGATCCGAGTTTCATGACAAGGTTTCAATCAGAATTGTCAACTTTCACCCGCAGTTTCATCGTTACCAAGCACTCGTATCACCCTCCCTTTTTTCATTCGTTGCCCCGATTCTTGCTTCTCAATTCATGCGTGTCTTTATTTTACAACCCAAAACCTGGCTTTTCTCAGTTCTTTTTTCCCTATTTTTCTTTTTCATTGATTTTCCATTGATTTTTCACATCCCAACATGTTCAAGTCGCTGATCAACAAGTTGACGACGCGCTCGCCGCCCGTGCAGCTGAGCGTTGAGCTTGATCAGACGACTGTTTATGCAGGCGACATGTTGCGCGGCCGCGTTCTGCTGTCCTGCGATCAGGAGGTGCACTGTAAAGGTCTGATTGAGGTCAAGATTACCGGCTTGCTGTCCGTCCACCTCGAGCCGCTCGACGGCAGCGAGCACGCGTTCGGAGTCCCACTGCACAAGCGCGCTATCGGCTGCAGGCCAACGCGAGAGGTGCTCAAGGCGACCGTGGTCGTCCGCACCTCCGACGCACAGCAGCAGCAGCAGCAGCAGCAGCAACAACCGCAGGCAGCAGCAGCATGCACCATTGCGGCGGGAGCCTACACGGTAAACCACCCACCAAAACACCAAACTCACCTGGGAGATAGAGTCGGACGAGTAGAGTCGGACGGTCGCAGTCGCAGCGTCAGAGGCGCAGAGTGAGGCGGGAAGAGCGGCCGTCGGAGTTGGGAGTTGAGGGGAAATACTGAGCGAAACCGCATTGGTTACCTCTGCGATAGAGTGCAAGGGACGACGAGGGTTGAGCGATGTCGGACTTTGTGTGTATATGTGTAGAGAGTGAGTGTTGGGAAGTATTCTGATTGAGAGCGACGCTTGAGTTATGCAGAGAAAACAAAGCAGGAAGAAAAAAAGAGAAAAATATCAAAGAGATGGGAAAGAAAGAGCTTAAAAAGGAGTTGGATTTTGCGTCATCGTCGCTGAACGTCAAGACAAACTGGATTGTGAAAAGATTCTTGTGGGGGAGGAAAGATGATGTGAAGAAGTGGTTGGGAAGAGTTGAACGTCATCGTTGCGAAGCGGGTGGCAGCGGAACGAGGAGCAGCCAGAAGAAGAAGAAGAAGAAAATAAAACGAAACAAACAAAAAATCTCAGACAAATCCAAAACAAATAGCAAAAAAATCACAATTTGGATGTAATTCTGTACTGATGCGCTTGCATTTGTTTTTGCAGTTTCCGTTCGAGTACCGGCTCGATCGATACTTGCCGGCGACGATGGCAATGAGCTTCAAGCACGGCGATTTCACAGTCCAAGTAAGCGCACCCGTTATTGGTCGCGGTATCTGTGGTATCGCAGTCGCTCATCTGTGCTTGGCTTATTGATGCAGACATTCTACTTTGTCAAGGCCAAGCTGGTCGACTACAAGGGCAACACGCCCAAATTGATGGTACCGGTGAGGATTGTCCCAAAGGCCCCGAACGTCGTCATGCCAATTGTCGCAACCCAGACATCGGCCTTGATTGGCCTTGCCAAGCGCCAGCCATTCTATCAAACGGCGACTGTCGGTAAGTGACGTGTGTCACCTTTTTGAGCTTCACCTCGCAGCCGCGTCTAACCGAACTGCCTTCTATTTTTCCAGACAAATCGACCGTCTTCCCTGGAGAAGCCGTCACCGTCAAGTTGGAAGCCAACAGCCTGTCCACAAACGAGGTGGCCGTCTCCATGAGCTTGCGCTGCTACGGTTCGTCGCCCGTCTTCCACATGGGCACGAACGGGAAAAAGTACAAGGAGCTGATTTCGCAAAAGTTTAACAATATCGCGCCTCTCTTCTATGGCGTGCGCTACTTGTCCCTGACCGTGCCCCTCGACGCTCCATTCTCGGCCGTGTCGGCTTCCATAACAATGAGTGCGTTTCGTGGTTTCTGGATTGTCATTGATACTCGTTGTGTTTTGCTAACTGCTGTCTTTTTGCTTCCTTCTCCGACTCGGCAGGCTACAAACTCATCCTAAAGTTTGAAAGCCTCGCCTTCCACAAATTCAAGCTCGAAATCCCAATCATCGTCGTCCCAAACCAGCCGCTCAATTGTGCCGTGCCAATCCGCGCCGTTGGAACGCCGCTTCCACCGGATGTCCTGCTCCGCCCTGCCTTCCATTCCCGCTCCATGCCCGCCAGTTGCGGGAAATGCTCGGCAAGCTTTGGGCTGTTGACACATCGGCATTCGTGCCGCTACTGCATGCAGGTCTACTGCGACAAGTGTGTGTCGCATCGCGCTTCGATTCCTGCTCGCGGCTTTGAGGCACCCGTGCGTCTATGTTCGGACTGCACGCGTCATGGCGGCAGTGGCGAACGCTACGAACAAGCCATTGCGCGACCTGCTTGGATTGGCGAGTCGTCGGTGGCGGCATTCGTGCCTGCCCATCCCCAGGCCCCAAGTCGTGGTTTGGTCACGCAGCAGTTGCCTTCGCAATACTTTGGACAGCCATTCCCCCAACTTGGCAATCTGCACATGTATCCAGCGGCGCAGGACCAGGGATACTCTGTTCAGCCGCCTCAACAGCTGGGATTTTCGGCCGAACAAGCCTATCCTGCACCGCAGCCCATTCCTTCTGCACCACCCCAAACGGCGTATGCATCCATTGGCGCGCCTTCTGGGTTTGGATATTCGCAACAGCCTTACTATCACTACAGCCAATCGCAGGAGCCTCGTGGTTCTGCCGAAGAAGACAGAGCCAACCAGACGCCATTTATGAGCGCGCAGCACTGGCAGCTCGCGCTGGTTGAGCCTCCGCCGTCGTACGATCAAGTCCAGTCCGAGCTCGTCAAAGCATGAGCAACAACAGCTACAACAACAACAATAACAACAAAAATTGCCGAAGAATGAAGTCGGCAATGTGTTTGTACAGTAGTTTTCACCAGCTTGCGCGAGCAATTTGGAACTGTCGGATCGGCTGCGCGAGTTTGCGCTTTTGTCCTTGATGGTTGTGTGTTTGTCAATCAATGACAGTAGTAACCTTTGAATGTACCATAAATGGATGAGGTTGTGAATCATTCTTGAATACACAATTTCACCTGGAAAAAAAAATAAATAGAGTGACGTCTCACTATGAATCATATTCTGTCGCTGAAGCTGCTGTACTCGATCCCTCGGTGCAAATAGAGTTGTTATCCCGCACGATGTGGTTTTCGACAGCTTTTATGGATGCGTGACTTGAACAGCAGCAACAGCAAACATTAACAGCAACAGCAACAGCAACAGCAACAGCAACAGAAAGGCTCACGGAACAAAAGTCTGGTTGTATTTGCCCGTTTCAAAGGAGGTCGGAAGGACTCGGCAAACCATGCACCTGTCTGGACGCTCGATCATCTTTTGAGCACACGCAACACAGACACATGCGTGGCAGCACGGCATCAGCTTGGCATTCGCCGGGGCGCTGTAACAGTACATGCACTCGCGTTCGCTGTCTTCGACAGCCTCTTCCTCGTTCACTTCAGCTTCTTCGCCCGACAATCGTCTCAGGATCTCGCCGAACGACGGTCGATTAACTCGCGCTGGTTCAAGACAATCCGCCGCAAGATCGGCCCCGATCATCTGTGCCGACTCCTTGTCTTGAGGGCTCCAGTCAATCGCCTTGTCCAGCACCGCATCGATTTTGCGGCTCTTCTTAAGCTCGCGCCGAACGGTACCCATCAGATTGATACTGGGCTGCTGTCCCGTAACGAGTTCAAGCAGAATCATGCCGTACGAGTACACGTCCGTCTTGATTGAGACCTTGCCTTCGTCGCGATACTGTGGGCAGATGTACTTGTATGTTCCTGCAATTGTTTTCGTTCTGATGTAGCTGTGAGCATCCACTTGAGCTGGTATGGAGCGTGTCAGACCGAAATCGGCAACCTTTGCGTTGAAATGAGCGTCCAGCAGCACATTGTTCGTCTTGAGGTCCAGGTGGAACAGCGGCTGACGCGGAATGGCAGTTTGCACAAAGTGCATAGCATTTGCAATATCGGTCGCAATATTTTGGCGTTGCTGCCAGCTCAATGCAGGCGTGCCACCCTTGCGATCGAGACGGTCGCGTACAGAACCGTTGGCCATCAGTTCGTAGACCAAGCAGCGCTCGTTGCCTTCCTGGGCATAGCACACGATGGTGACGATATTCGGGTGACGGAAACGCGAGAGGGCTTCGAGTTCGGCCTCAAACTGAGCGACGCCTTGGGTTGAATCCGCTGCCAGGCGTTTGACCGCAACTCGCTGACCGCTCCAGACACCAGAGTAGACGCTGCCAAATCCACCCCCACCAATGCGCTTAGACTCTGAAAACTGCGCTGTGGCTTGCAACAGAACTTGCAACGACACTCGCGGAATGCTGGAGAGGATGGGTGCAGCAGAGGTTATTGGTGGTGCTTGGCGCTCGAGTTCGAGCTGGGCAATGCGAGCTTGCAGTTGACGGATCTCTTCGGTGGAGTCAGTTGGTATCGCGGGGCCCGCGTTCGCGCTGCCACGGGGTTTGGAGGCAGGGGCAGGAGGCGTCGGAGAAGATGGAGCGTGGCTGGAACTTGGAGCAGCGTGTGGCACGCCGGCTGTAGAACGGGTGATTTGCGGAACTTCAGTTGTTGGAACGCTGGCCCGGACTTGAGCGGCGCGAGACGCCATCTCCTGTAGTTGAGCAGGTGACGGCGTACTTTGATCGCGCGTCCTGTTGAAAGTCCAACGCAGGTCAGTGCTGCTGTCCATCCAACTGTGATTGCAGAGCCAGCATGTCAAAATTACGAAAGGTAGCATGTCCTGTTGCCGACTTGTTTCAAGGCCTTGATGCCATTTTCGGTAATGAAGTTCTGATCAAGGCTAGAAGTTTCGGAATATGGTTTCACGTTTGAGCGCTAACACACGCACGATCTGAATTCTGAAGTGCAATTGAACTTACTAGAGCGTTGTCAGCTTCTTGTTCATTTTGAGTGCTTCAGCAATCGCTTGCGCTCCAGCATCACCAATCTGATTGTTGTACAGACTGTTTATCCCCTCCATCGGTGAGCACTCTTCTGAATCACCCACTCTCATGCATCATTCAAAGTGAGATGACTTACTAGACCGTAGTCAGCGTCGTGTTCACTTTGAGTGCTTCAGCGATTGCCTGCGCTCCAACATCGCCAATCTGATTCCTATCCAAACTGACCATGCCCTTCATCACTCTTCTGAATCGCCCACCCACATGCACCAGCAAGAGTGAGATGCCTTACTAGAGCTTGATCAGCGTCGTGTTCACTTTGAGTGCTTCAGCGATCGACTGCGCTACAGCATCGCCAACCGCCCCCCTTTCCAAACTGTCCATTCCCTCCATTCTCGTCAGCACACACACACTCGCGCTGTCAACAACTGTGTTCCAAATCAACTCGGGCTTTTCTCTTACTCGAGCGCTTCTCTCGCATTCTTGACTTTGTCATACAACTCGCGCTGTCTCTGATTCATATTCTGATAAGACAGCATATTGGAAGATGTTTGGAAAAAAAAAAAAAAAAAAAAAAAAGACTAGAGCTCTCAGTCCTCAACCTATCATCAGATTTCCCAACGACCGACACAAGAAGTTTCGTGGTCGGCTTTCACGTTCATCGTCAGACGAGCAAAACGATCCAAGTTGAAATCGACATGCAATTTTTGACTTTTCTGTTGAAGATCACCGGTTGTCTCGAACAAGCAGCCGAGCGTGTTGCGCTGAGCCGTTCAGACCGATTCTATTCGTTTTCTAACTTCCCCCTCTTGACTTGCTCCTCATTCATATTGCATCTCCACCGCTTTACTGCGACTGCCAGCCAACGAATCATCCTCCCAAATGTACATGTATGAGCTCGACAATCTCAACAAATTTTCGCTGGAATTGCATTAGAATTGACAATTTCCACTCTTCTTTATTTTCTAGCTCAGTTTAATCTCGTCTCTACATTACCCACCTCACTCTTTATTCATTCTCTCAATTCCAAAAGCAATGCTCAAGCTCATCAACAAGCTGACCGGCGACTCGTCCCGCGCGCCACCCGTGCAGCTGAGCGTGGAACTCGACCAGCCGACCGTGTTTGCTGGCGACGTGCTCCGCGGCCGCGTCCTGCTGTCCTGCGAGCAGCCCGTCCCATGCAAAGGCTTGATCAAAGTCAAGATCAACGGCCTGCTGTTCATCCACTCCGACCCGCTCGACGGCGTGCAGGACGTCTTTGACGTTGCCAGCAAGGCCTTCGCCAGGACCAAGTCGGAGCTGCTCAAGGCGACGCTCACCATCAGCGCAGCCACCGCCGCCGACCCAGCGTCCGTCACTCCTGCCGGCTGCACCATCAAGCCAGGCGCATACGCGGTACGACTGCCCTGCACTCTGACAGTGACCTGATCCTTTGCCGCTATTTTTTTGTTCAGTCTCTTCGTCTTCCTTTCATTCGCCGGTCGCTTCCTGCGCCACTGCGGCCTCGCTTGACTTGCGTAGTCGATGCATCCGTTTGTGTTGTGAATGTTTTGTTGGGGGAAAAAAAAGCGAACTGACAAAAAAGGGGGAAGGATTGTTGGGAGTTTGACGTCACCTTCGATGCAAAAACAAACACAAAAACGAAAAAGGAAAAAGGAAAAAAAAAACTCAGAAAAGGAAAAAAAAGAAAATCATTCCACTTTTTTTTTTTTAATTCTTCTTTCCTCTGACTCGTCTTGCCCTTTGACTCTCTCTCACTTCCATCTCTGAGCTTGTTTGCTGGCACTCATGATTTTGTTTCTTTGTTGACCGCATCAACAGTTCCCGTTCGAGTACCAAGTCGACCGCAACCAGGCTGCGACAGTGAAGGTGAACTTCAAGTATGGCGATTACAACGTGCTGGTAAAGGGCCAACCAAGATCTGAAACATGATACAAACCGCTTTGTTGTGTCCAACTCTCATTTTCCGAAATGCCGGGTTGTCTTCTGCTTTACTCAACTGCAGACGTCGTACCGCATCACTGCTCGCCTGGAAGACTACAAGGGCACCGTTCCCAAGTTTGCCGTGCCATTCTGTGTCATGCCGAAAGCCCCGGAATCTGTCGTGCCATCGGTGGCAGCCCAGAAATCCACCTTCATTGGATTTGCCAAGCTCATCCCCTTCTTCCAGAAGGCTACTGTTGGTACGTGGCCATGGCGGCGGAGTGTGAAGCATGACTACTACAATTCAACTCATTCCCCCCGCCATTTTGCTTGCGTGCAGACAAATCGACCGTCTTCCCTGGCGAAGCCGTCGTCCTCAAGCTGGAGGCCAACAGCTTGTCGACCGACGAAGTGTCCTTGTCCATGAATTTGCGCTGTGCTGGCAAATCCACGGCGCACAACATGGTTACCAGCAAGGATGTCGTGACGCAAAAGTTTGACAGCATTGCGCCACTCTTCTTTGGAGTGCGCTACTTGTCCCTCACAATTCCCCTTGATGCTGCTTCCTCGGTGGATACGCCGTCGCTGACGCTCTGTACGGTTTTTGGTGGCTTTCTTCTGCCTGGTAGCTCAAACCATGTCTTGCATCTGAGGTCTGACCATGGCTTGACTGTTTGTTTTTGGGGTTTTTTTGTTCCATTTTTGACAGCCTACAAGCTCCTCCTGGTCTTTGAAAGCATCTCGCTCCGTAAAGTCACCCTCGAGGTTCCCATCACCGTGGTTCCGCCGCAACCGCTCGTGTGCTCTGTGCCAGTGCTCGCACCAGGAGCCCTGCCTCCTCCGGATGTTATTCACCGCCCGCCGTTCCAGCCACGCGCGAGTACCGGCAACTGCGGCAAGTGCTCGACCAGCTTTGGCCTGCTGACCCACCGCCATTCGTGCCGCTACTGCATGCGCGTCTACTGCGACAAGTGTTTGACGTACCGTGCCTCCGTCCCTGCTCGCGGATTTGAGATGGCTGTGCGCCTCTGCTCGGACTGCACCAAGCACGCTGGCCAGGGCGAACCTTTTGAGCAGGTCATCAACCGTCCGTCGTGGATTGGTGTCGCCTCACTCACACCGCCCGTCAATGACGTTCTTCCGCCGTCGTCCAGCATGCGGCTGCCTGCGTCCCAGCCTTATCTGCCTCCCCAGCACTATCCCGGACAGCAGCAGCCTGGATATCCGCCTCAGCAACCCTACCCTCCGCAGCAAGGATATCCACAGCACCCGTATCCGCCGCCGCAGCAGCAGCCCTATCCCGCGCCACAGCAACAGGAGACCCAGTTGCCTTATCCGGCGCCGCAGCAACAGCAGGCTCAGGCGCCCTACCCCCAGTACTTGCCTCCGCAGCACTTTGCAGCCCAGCCTCCGCCGTATCCCGCTCCAGGACTCTCGCAGCAAGCTCCGAACGGGACGTATGGCTATGCTCCTGCAGCTCAAAGCGAGCCGCAACGTGCGCCTCCTGCGGCTCCCGGAGCAGGATTGCCCCAGTATCAGCTGCAACCCATGGCTCCTCAAGCCTGGCAGCAACCGCCTACCAAGCCCCCGACCTATGAGCAGACTCAAGCTGCGCCCAAGGCATGAGGCTTGAAATGTTGCATTCTTGTTTTGTTCGATTGTACGTTGTGTTTTTTTTTTTTTTACATGCGATTTGGTTTTTGTTTTTTCCATGTTTTTTCTCTGTTTGTGAATGCCCTTCCATTACTGATGTCCTCATTCTTTATCCTGCTTCCCTCATTCAATACACGAGTTGAATCGTCCTCCACAGAACAAAATGTGCGGAAATCTGCATAATCTCGTTCTTTTCAAACAGCCAGCCTCATGACACACGACGACCAACGCCTATACACACGCAAATATCGTTACTGAGTCACTCAGTCGATCTTTCACCAATGTTACAACCACATCAGGGTTGAACCGAGTCGATCCGGACAAGCTTTGTCGGAAACTGCGCGCGAATGATGAATGTTGCGTGTTTTCACGATCAAGATGGATTACCAAACTTTAACAAACAACATCAACACAAAAGTCTGAGTCGCTCAGTCGTTCTTTTTTGTCAACATTCATGTCAAAGCCAATCTTACAATTTGTCAATGGTTTGTATTGCCTTTTTTTTTTTTTTTTTTTTTGTATGGGATTTGCATTGGCGTCTAACTTTTTTTCTTTGGTGCTTCTGCCTTGCACAGACGACGACCGCGCTGACGATGACGATGATGCCGGGTTTGGCGCCTTTGCTTCAGCTTCGTCTGGCGCGCGAAGACCGGTCGCGTCGACGGCAATGAGCAGCGCAACGAGCTCACAGAGCACTGGTAACGCATCTCCATTGGAGTTTAGCTACCAGCCCCGATACCGATGGAATATGCGACAGAAAGCTCACATCAATTGTTGTATGAATTTTGGACGGTGCTTGCTGGGTGAAAATCAGGTCTATGGCCGAGTCAACGGTCGGCAATGCCAAATGCATTCGAACTGCTGTCGGCAAACTCGGCGAGCAGTCCAAGCGGCACCCAGCTCACTCTTGCAGCAAGTGCAACTGAGAATAGCGAGGACAGACCTACAAAGTTGAAAAAGAAGCTGAAAAAGCAAATCAAGAAGAGCATCAAGGCGTACCGAGGGATGAACAAGCCGAAAATGTTCTTGGCGAACGAACGGACGTACCTGAGGTGGATTGGCCAGACCCTGGCTCTAGGAAGCATGGGCACCACCGTGGTCGTGTTTATGAATGACGAGATGCGCGTTCCAGGCTACCTCATGTGGGCAGCGGCGCTCGGATTCCTCGTGTACGCAACCATCAAGTTCCGCCGACGAGCGCACGCACTTGCTCAGCAGCGGCCGTCGCCCGACTACGACGCACCCATCGGGCCTGTTGCCTTCATGGGCTGCGTCATGGTGGCTGTTCTAGCGTACATCATTGCATTGATTGTCCATCGGTCGTAATTAACGCCGATTCCTGTTTGTGAATAGCATTGATTCAACCGCATGTCGGATTTGCATGCCACAGCGTGCGATAGCACTTGCCTCTTCTGTGTAGTATCCCCTTTTTGTGCTCTCTTCTTCAACCCCGTTCATCATCCGCATTGAAATGTTTCAGCCCAAAAAATCCTAGCTTCCCGCTCCAACAACCCCCATCCACACCTCACACACAATCTGGCATTAACTATGCAACACAACGACAACAGCAAACGCACCCAAAGCTCAGTCCAATCTCTTCTTCCATCATCATCATGACTGAACCGGTCGTTCGAACCTACCTTCGCAAGCCGTGGAAGCACTCTGCATCGCCAGTCCACTTGGCCAGCAACGGTCACTTGATCCATGCAATCCACGAATCTGCCAAAGCCAGCGCTCCAGCGACGCCCAGTCCGCGCCAGGACGAGATGGACGCGAGTTTCATTTTGGCGCGAAAAATTCAAACCCAGAACAGCGTCGCAGATCCGCTCCTGCTGCTGCTCGACCTGCCGCCAGCGTCTGTAGAGCGACCAGGCACGCCTGTGCCAATGGCCAGGAGCACTACGACCGATCCGCTGTGCGCTCAAGTCCAGCCGGGCGATTTCAGCAGCGATTCGAGCTGTCAAACCAACACTACCGCCAACTCCGTCGAGCTGGATTTCCTGATCGCGTCACCGGGTTCGAGTAGCGATGAAACAGTAGATCCAGAGCACATTCGAGCAACACCGCCTGTCGTGGTGGCAGAGCCGTGTTTTTTGACCACTCCGACACCTCGCTGGCTGCCAACTTTGGAATTCCCGCCGACGCCTGATTCGTCGCGCGGATTGTCGCCGGACTGGTTGGTTTCTGGAGGTCCTACACAGGCGCAAAATAACCGCCAGACATATGCAGCAAAGAAATCTACAGCTCGTGCCAAGCGGCAGTGGACGGAGCGATCGCCCGTCTCGCCTCCAAGAAGTCGCGAACAAGTTAAATCCGGCCAGATCGATTGGAGCCCTCCACCAGCTCAGCCAGCCGCACTCCAACTAGACCGCGACGAATCTCCAGACGTTTTACAGTACAAGCGAATGCCAAAAAAGCCACGGGTAAGGCAATTGTGTTGTTTTTTTTTTTTGAACTTTTCGCTTGAGCTTCCGTTGCAAAACTCACTACCCCTGCCCTTCCAAATCAGATCTCGAACACACCAATAGACCACTCGCAAGACAAGGAATACATGGCGTTTGCGGAAGCAGCCACGAAAATGTTTGCCGAAATTGAGCAAACCGAGCTGGAAATGACTTTTGACGTGTCCGACTGGATGTCATGAGATTTGCACGCTCGAGTGTCATCAACGTCCATGTGTGATGACAATGACCAGGATGTAGTTTGGGTTGAATCGTTTTGGTGCAATGTTGAAGCGTTCACAAAACGGAAAAAAAAATTGAACAATCACATTTGATCTCTATCCTCGAGAAACAACCCACGCGCATGCTCGGACAAAATGAATCCAAACACGCAATCACTTCGAAACAGTCGTCAGCTTGGAAATGCGAGCGCGGTGCGCTGCTATGGCAAATTTGACGAGAGGATTGCTGCGAGGATCCAGCAACTGGATGTTCCATTTCAGCAAGCAGACCAGTTCGTTGCTGGCAGACGACCGACGACTGATGAACTCTCGTGCTCGGTATCTTGCACACTCCGTCCAGAGAGAATAAGCGCAATCTGCTCCAGCTCGTCGCAGTCTGCGGCTGTGATTTTGCGCGTGGTACGCACTACAAAGGACGAAGAGCAATCAGCCACCACCGGATCTCATCTCAGTCAAACCCCCAGCACACACTCCCTACCTGACGGCCCATCTGGCAACTCAGACAGCTGAATGGCAACATCGCCGATAAATTCATCGCCGCAAATCAAATCCGACTCAAACACGGACACTTGCAGGACCAGCATCGGGTCCCACTTTTCAATGTTACTGAGCAAAAAAAAAAAAAAAAAAAAAATCACAAACAAGAAAAACCAGTGAGCAACATGCTGCAACCTCGTCACCGCACTCTGGAACTTGAATAACATACAAGGTGAACGTTTCGTCAAACACTGGAGACCTGGTCCGTCGTTTCGTCTTGGTGCGCATCACCTTGCAATGGTGCAGTACCTGTTGGCTCATTTGTCGCGGCACCACATCAAGCTCAACGACAGGATTTGGGAGACCTGTGCCAAACACACACACATACACACACAAAAAGCGAAATGAGCGCTCCACATCGCCCCAACAATACCCAACACCAAACGCAAATCTGACACGTACTGGTGGGGTCTTTGCTAACTAATCCACTGGCATCAATCACCGTCACAGACAAAATGGCACCGGCGCCCTTGAGCACCAAAGACAGATCGAGCTGCAGATCGCCTTTGCCCTGGACGAGCTGTGTCACAATCAAATTCCACACGTGAACATCATACAAAATCAGCGCCCGCACTAGTACCAATCAAATCAAACAATTCACGCCATACCGCATTCTGAGAAGCACGCGCTTCGCACTCGACAAACTGCCGAATCAAACTGGACGTGGGCAGGTTGTACCACTCGAGAACCGACTTGAGTGATCGGTATGCATCCGAGTCGAGTCTGTTGAGCGGAATTCCGTCCTTGTTGGCGTAAAAGAACGAGTGGATCTCGTCCAGCGACAGCGCAAATGCCGAGCTCTGGCGGGCACTGAGCGACGTGACGCTTTTGATCGACCCGCACAGCTTTTCCTCCATGCCTGGCATTGCCATTGCAGAGATGGACTCCACTACGATCGTCCAAATCTCAAAGAGGACGCGCTGGAAGAGCATGGGATAGAGCGCTTCCGCGAACGTCTCGAGGTTTGTCGACAGATACTGGAGCAAGGGCTGCAGAGCGTCGCGGACTTCGTTTTTGGTCATGGGGACGGCCGCGTCGGCATCGACAGGCGACCGTGCCAACGAGCTGAAGGCGCGGACAATCCAGAGAGTTTTCACTTGCGTTGACTGGGCTGTGCCGGTGATGAGGCCCAAGTAGCTCGCAATCTCGGGTGTCATTTTGCGCGTAATAATGCCAATCAAATCGGACAAGACTTCGCGCAAATGATCGGAAATGTCTGCAAAGAGAGTCGACAGAAGCGAGTCGTGGCTGCTCCGCAACGCACTGGCCGCAGTGTCGACCACACCCGACGTCTCGAGCGACAAGAACAAGTCCTTCAATCGGGTGTCGGCATGCTCAATGTTGTTGAGAAGGATGCACAGTTGCCGAGAGACGTCAAACGAGGTTGTGCGATCTGAGCTCGAACTGCCGCTGAAAAACCACAGGGAGGAGCGTCGATCAGCAGCTTCGCCCGCAGAGGGAGAATTGGTCAGCCGCTCGCCACCGGGAGAATAGTTGGTGCGCCGATCGAGATTCCGGCGCACCTCGCTGCAGTACATCTTGACTCCTTTAAAGACAATGTCGACGAGGAGCGGCAGCACCACAGACTCCTCCGCGGGATCCGGCCACTCGAGCGAGCGCAAAAACCCAAAGATTTGGTCAAACAAGGTGAACATGTCAATGACGGAGGACGAGTACAGGGCATGGCCGACCGTCTCGGTGTTGTCCTGCGAGATGACATTGAGAATCCAGACCTCGGCTTTGTTCGAGGTGAGTTCAATCCAGCGCAGCAGGCTGGCACGGAAGTGCGTGTGAAAGCTGTAAATCAAGCTGATGGTGGAGCGTTCGCTCTGTGAGAACTTGCGGGAGAGGGCGTCACGCAGCCGTTTCAAAACAAAGTACAGCTCAAACACCTGGGGGCGGGCAACCAGCTCGCTCGGTTTGGCATCATCGGCGACGACCCGCATGACCGCGGTCAAGTCGGAATTCAAGAGAGAGCAGTAGTGCTGGGCAAAGAGAAGGAGCAAGTTGCATCCGAACGGGGCAAAGATGCGCTGGTAATGAGTCGAGGCATACTGCAGCTCGCTCGAAACGGCACCGGCGATGATGGCCAGCTTGGCACACTCGTCCTTGGTTCCACGCTCCATGGCTCCAGCCATGGCGGACAATCGCCTGTACATGACGCCCAAGTGGCGCTGCAACAAATCGGGCAGCACCTGTTCGAACGAACTGGTGCTGTGGTACTCGAGCCAGAGAGGGAGTCGGTAGATGGTCTGCAGGATTTGCAAGGTGGCTTGCAGCCGCTGGGCCACCGTAAACGAGTGCTGCGGCGACGCAGGCAAGGAGTTTGTCGAAGACGTGAGAGACGACGACGTCCCCTGCGACCCAGAGCCACCAGATTCTTCCAAATCAAACGGAAACACGTCGCGGAGGCGAAGGAGGGTGGCGATGAGCCGTGACACGATGCGCTTGACGGCCCTGGCTGCCATTGCAGTGTGCTCGCCAGACAAGGAGAACACGGACGTTTGTGGAGTCGTCGCAGACGCCTGTAGTGGTGGGCGCAGGTTGCGCTGAGAGTTGAGAGCAGTGGCGTTCTCGGACGCGACCAGGGCGTTGGGCGCGGTCTGCTCCAACAGCTCCTCAATGCGCGACAACACGCCGAGGACGGGACGAAAGTCGAGACAGTACTGCATGAACATTCTGCTGTAGCTCACAAGCTCCACGCAGAGGCGATCGTAGGTAGAAACGATGCCCGACTGGAGCGCGACTTGATTCAACACACACGACGCTTGCAATGACAGTACGGCAGACCAGCGATCGCGCCCGTTGTCCAGCTCTGCGACGGACTTGGCCAGATACGGTCGCGCTTCAAATTGCATAAACTTGCGTGTCAAGACCAGGAGTCTTCGAATGTTGTTTGCGCTCAGCTGAGTGACGGACGTGCGCGGAGAGAGGCTGTCTGAGCGTGCCGCTGCCGTCCCGCGGAATGCGGAAATGTTGAGCGGGAGGGGCGATGATGTATCGCCTGTACCAGGAGTAGAGCTACCTGAGTTGCTGCCGCTGCTGTTGCCGCCAGCTCCAGGGATTTCAAAGTTGAAACGGATGCGAATGTCGCCAGAAATGTTGGACCGTTTGCTCCGCTGATTGAGCGTGTACCACGCGTCCGAACCACCTGCGCTAATGTCCTTGATGGGAATGCGGATGCGGCCCATAAAGTCGTGCTTCTGCTTGGTCAGGCGGGAGAGCGCGGATTTTTCGTCTTGGTCCCACATGTCCAGCGCAAAGACCTGGTGTTCGGCTGACTTGAGCTCGAGGACAAACTCTTCATTCCAGACGGGATCGAGCGTCTGGCCCTTGACGGAGGTCGAGTAGCGCGGCTTGTGCGGTTTGGCGGCATCCTCCGAGTCGCAGAGTCCGAGCACGCAAAAGGGGTCGGACTTGCCAGTCTTGTCCTTTGGGAAGAGGCCGCGCGCTTGGATGATGCTGACGCGGAGCACAGTGAGTGGAGTAGCTATCGACGAATGGCTGTGGCGATGATGATGATGCGACTTTTTGCTTGTTGCGGGCGAGTCGAGCGTGAGCTGCGCTGCTTCCTCCATGGCACTGCGATGTGTCGCAGCGTCATAGCCAAACACGCGCTGGCAATAGTCGAACAGCTTGGCAGTGACGCACTCTGGGTCATTCACCGCGCCGACGCGGTGGCGGATGGCAAACAAGCACTGAACGTAGAGGTCGCGGTTGGCCTTCTGACGCGCCAATCGTCGCTGTTGTCGCCGTGACTGTCTCGTCTCGCTGTCGTCATCGTCGTCTTCATTGTCATCATCGCTTGGGGCATTCAATCGACCCCGTTGCAGCCGAACACCATCGCCCAAGGTGAATGGAATCTGACCCGAAGAATTGTGCGCCGAGTTGAGAGCAGAACTTTGGCCGGAACTGCCGCCCGACTTGGTGCTAGCGTCTTGGTCGCTGTCCGAGTCGTACTCTGCGAACTCGTCCGAGTCTGAGCTGTCCTCGTTGAATGCGCTGCCTCTTGGCGCCAATGCAGCAATGGACGAAGCGGGGTCTTCCAGCACAGACGCCTGCAGCTCGCGGTCCTCGTCCGGCAGCCCCGCAATCCGCACGCCCAGATCAAACATGCTCCTGTCGCGCTTGCCTGCAGCAGAGGCGCCCTGGAACTCGCGGAAGAAGCTCGCGGCCGAGTTCACCTTCGCGACTGGAGCGGAATTGGCCGCCTCACCCAGTCCAGCCAGCGCTCCCGACGACCCCGAGCCACCAAGGGCAGCGGACTCTCGCGGTGACGATGAGCGCGACGAGGCAGACAGCGGCAGCGCGCGGCTGCTTGGCTTGGGACGCGGCGCTGTCGGAGTTGGCGAGCCACGAGCGTCATCATCAGCATCATCGTGATCACAGCCATCATCATCGTCATCATCCGCAGCCGCCGCAGCAGCAGCAGCATCATCATCATTATCCGTGCCACCCTGCCTCAGAGCAACAGCTGGAGCAGCAACAAGCAGCAAGTGAGGTTAAGTTTGACAGCAATTTGTGAGCCAGTCTGAGCGGCTTGGCAAAAACAAAAACAACAAACCCGCAGTCACACTTACTGTGAGCCACAGCGCGGCCGATGGCGAGAATCCAGCTCTCCATTTCGTCGTAGGTGTCGGCATAGGCGTAGAAGGACCGCTCGGCGGTGCGGAGGAGCAGACAGTTTTGGTGATCGGGCCGCTCAGACGCTGCGGTGGTGATCTGAGAAAAAAGCAGGACGCATGAAAACAATAAGATCAAAAGGCCATCCATGTCTGTGAAAGAGTCATCGAGGTGCTGTTGTGCGTTTTACAGCCATGACATCGACGAGCGCAATGGATCCCAGCGGTCTGCTGGATTGCTCAGACTCAAAGTATAAGAGATACGCGCCGGCAAGCGTAAACCAGCGACGCTTCCAGTTGCGGAGAAAGCTGCCTTCCTTGGTCAGGAAGCCCTGCTTTGTCGCCATGAGTGAAACGATGAGAAGGGAAACAAAAAAAAAAAAAAAAAGGTGGACTGAGAATATGGACAAAAAGCCGGAATGGAACAAGTTCTGCTGAGATGACAGTGCAAAAACGATCAAGCAGTTTCAAAACATCAGAATTGAGGTGGCAGTCAAATTGCAGTGCAGCGAGGTTGCTTCATCATGGCAGCAACAATCGGCATTGAACGAAATTCTGGAGACAGGAATGGAGCATCTCGCGACGGCAATGGTTCATCCACCCCGAACAGTCATCGCGGAGCTGTTGTTGTTGATTTGAGAATTTTCAAGCAAAATAAAACACAAACGAAGCGAACACACAAAAACTCAGACACTTTTTCACTCAAATTTGAACATTCAGTCGTTTGTGTTTTGAAAATTTTGAAATTTTGAAATTTTGAAATTCTGAAATTTTGAAAATGCCCCCAAAACGCACAGAAATGTACAAGAATCAGACTTGGAAAAACCCAGACCAGCCTCAGCGCAACCAGCGCCGACCTCAGGCGGGGAGCCAGGCGACCGAGGGGAGCAACGAGCCTCAGCAGGGAAACCAAGAACCTCAAGAACCTCAGCAGGCAACCCAACCGCCTCAGCCTCAGCAGGGGGGCAACCAGGCGCCTCGGAACCCAAGCCAGCCTCAGCATCCTCGACCTCGGAGGGACCAACCACCTCAGAGAAGCCAAGAGCAGCAGGGGAGCCAGGAGCTGCCAGGAAACCAAGAGCCTCAGGTGACCCAGAGCAACTCAAACCACCAGCGCCATCGACCTCCGACGAGGGACCGAGCGCCTCACGTTGATCAAGCACCTCAAGTGAACCAGGCAACTCAGGACGTGTCTCTTCCCCAGAGATCTGAAGGTACTTCGAGGTACGTGCCTCCCTACATGAGGCATGAAAGTACTTCGAGGGACCAAAACGAGACTTCTCAGCAGAGGTACGTGCCTCTCCCCATGAGGCATGACAGAAACACTCCGAGAAACCCTCGAGGAGACCAAATCCCTCACATGACGTTCTTCCGACGCTGACCAGAGTCGCCTCGCACACGGCGACGCCGCTTCCAGGCATCCAATACTATTCCCTTGGCCCGTTGCCCGAGGCCGTTGACCGTTCTCGGAGCATGCCTGATGCGAAACGGGTCTTCGCGATGGTCTTGTACTACCCTCCCACGTTTCTTTGGAACGGGACGATGCAAGACGGCGCCTCTGACGACTGGCGACGCGATTCGGTTCTCCGGGTTCACGCCGTGATAACGCACAAGTCTGGTTGGTCTCAACTCCCTGGAGGCACGGTTCCGCCTGGGATCGAGCCGCTTCACCAGCTCAACAAAGAGTGGCAGGAAGAAGTCGATTCGACGCAGTCAGAGTATTTCAGCGAGGACGAGTTTCTTGGATTTTGCCATGATACTCGCTACTACATCAAGGTTTTGCCGCTGCCTCCTGCTGATGCACCCCGTTCGATCGGCACCAGGCAGGATGTGGAAATTTATGCCAATTTGCGATTCCCGCTCTACGACATCGAGATTCCTGCTTACCAAGACGCCGAAGGATGGCCACGTTACAAGAAGCATCGATGCTGGAATGCTCAATCTTACCAGGCAGTGGACGATGTCATCCGGCGCCTTTTTTCTCTGCAGGGATGATGTGACCTTTTCAAGGACATGCTCGCTCGTTTCCTGACCTCAAACTCTCTCTCTGTCTCTCTCTCTGTCTCTCTGTCTCTCCCCCCCCCCTCTCTCTCTCTCTCTTTTCCAAATGCACCCTTGATATGATTCGATGTCTTTTTGACTCTTGAAACCCTTTTGTACGCTGTCAGAACGCCCAACCTGCATGTTTCAGCTGTTTTTGCCAATAAACTCTTTCTTTCTCGAATCACTCGATTCAAAGGGCGCCCTTTGCATCATAGAAACCTGTACGTTGTCCACAAAGTTCTCCAATGTTCAGCCAACGTAGCGAGTTACTGAGTTACTGAATCTCAGAGATTTGCAACAAAGTGCTCATTGTTAGCCAACACTCGACTGCTCAGCTTCCTTCCAATGAATGTATTGCACGTCTTTTTTTGTTTCCCCTTATATTGCTCTTGTCTCAGTTTTCGTAAGTCTCAGTCTTTTAGCGTTTGGTTGCTGTGTGCGTTTTTGGTGGGAGCGTCCTACCTTTTCCTTAACCAGGGCCATGACACAATCCTATGCTCAGTTGTCTAGGCTCGTCTTTTGCCATACGGTTTCCGCTCGTCGCCGCGCGCTCGTTCTGCCTTCGCCTTCGCCCGCTGCCGCGCCCACCGCCGTCCGATCCAACGCCATCCACACCGCAAGCACTGCTGCTACTGCGATTCATGCCACTGGAGCGACCGGACGGAGAGGACTGAGCGCTCAGTCCAACGCGTGCGGTTCAGTCCGGCCGCCCGCACTCGCTTCCACTGCGACGAGGACTGCTTCTGCCACTGAATCAAGCATGGCCAGTACATCAGGACGCATGTTCTGCAGCGGCGGCCGAGTCACCGTCCGAGCGCGGCCTTGCTCAATGCTGGCCCAGCGAAATGCTCCAATGCTGAATATGACCATGACGCCCATGGCAAGTGATCGAGGGTTGCATAGTCAAATAGCACTACAGAGCCCACAAGGACTCCAATTGTCAATGCGATTGGCCTCAGCAGGTCCTGGATTGCCTGCGAGTCCATTCGCGCGCCAACTGTCCACTTCCGCCGCTGCGCACACTGCAACCAGCCCCGGATCACCCCTGAACGCATTCAAGCAAGACGCGTCATCACCTTCGTCGTCAAAGGTATCCGCGCCCTCGGCTGACGAACTCAATCCGCTCGCAACCGTCAAGCGAGGGCTGTTGGACCCGCCAGAACACCCTTCGTCGTCGTCCAATGACGACGGATCCATGATGTCCACTGCATCGCTGGCTGCCGGCAGTGACGCAGCACCCAACGAGATGGCACACCCGGCAAACTGGAAGCCAATCAAGGAGGTTGGGCTGCTCGATCTACCAGCGCTCTATCTCTCCTTGTCCAAGGCAAAGTTGGCCTCTCAGGTCGTCCTCACTGCCATGGTACGATGGCTAACTTGGATTAGGAGGCTGCTTTTCTTGGTTGCTTGATAGTATCTCGCTCATTCATTTTCCTCTCCTGCTGTCTTTGAAAAAAAACAGGTCGGATACGCCATGGCTCCTGGCGCGCTGAGCATCCCCACGCTGTTTTGGGCGTCAGCTGGAACAGCCCTCTGTGTCGCGTGTGCCAACACTGTCAACCAGTGGATTGAAGTTCCCTTCGATGCCCAAATGTCACGCACCAAGACCCGCGTTCTCGTTCGCGGGGCAGTTGAGGTGAGAAAAAAAATGCTTCATTCTTCTGAACTGTTTGTTTCTCGCCATTCCTGTCACTCACAAACACATCCCTGGGGTCTCTCCCCCCCCCCTCCC